TGGTCCCTGACTGCCTCCACTGACAATGATTTATCTCCGGCTATAGAAATATGTCCATACAAGCACAGCTAATGCAGCCCTAACATTACAATGACGGGTGGTGGGGGGCCCGAGCGATGGAACAAGATGTCACCCGCTCGGACAGTGAATAATAAGACCTCCTTTTGCGAGGTGAGGTCCAGAATGGTATCTATCACGCAGGCAGTGAAGAATGGGACTGTCTATGCTCGGGCCGGTGGTGAACAACATGTGGTGAATGGGAGGATTGTTAGCGGCTATCCTGTGCTAATCATTACCATGTGGCTTTAGCAGGCCACACCTCTGCCTGGTCCTTTTTTAAAAACACAGCTTGGGACCCGGAGGCAGGGCTTTATTGGACGGGCTAACTCGCTCCCATGAAGCCGCACCACAGGGGAGTCCATAAAGGAGAGGCCGATGTACTTTCATTATAGCTGGAGTTATCTGGAGAAAGCTTGTGTGCATCATGGTGTGTTTATGTCCTGTGAATGTTTCTAATAATCTACGAGCAATCAGTGGTCCTATAAAAGTCCTAGCACCTCTGTTTGAAGTGGTAAAAAAATTGAGCAAAGATGGGCTTGGGCCACCTGGGTTTGTCTCATGTGGAGGATGATTAAGAATATGAGTCAAGCAGTGAATAAATGCATGTACTGTATGATGAAGATGTTATTATTAGGGTGACCAGACGTCCCTATTTACCCGGGACAGTCCCAGTTTTGAGCCCTGTGTCCCCTGTCCCAGCAGATTTGTACAAAACCATTGATTTGTCCCAGTTTTACACAAGAAATGTCACCAGGAACCCTATATTTGACCAGTCTGATTCCTGCCAACAGTAAAGAGAGGCATATACTGTAATTTGTTTAGGCAAAATTACAGAACACACACAAAAACACACACAAAAAAATGAAATATTGACTCATGTTAGTCTTGAATAAGTCATGAATGGGCCGAGTGCAGAACAGTTTTCCTTAATTAAGCACTCGTTTCACAATTTTACTATTAACGATTTTTTTGTCCCAGTTTTTGATATAGAAAATCTGGTCACCCTAGTCACTATAATTACTATCACTATTGATAATATCCATAACTATAAAACTACTAGTTGTACTACTTGTTGCTACTTTTACAACATTACTTCAGCAGTCGCCTTGTCAATAAGTGGCCCCTGCTTTGTCTACATCCCTCCAAACCACATGAATCCTTGCAAAACTACGGTCGTCCCCCATCTCCGTGCACCCCCACTCCTCACTTTCCTTTTTCACTGCTTACTACTACTGCTACTAGATTACTTTTACTTCGTACCATAACCTTAATGCAAACACTACTGGTACTACCTCTATTGTTACTCTAACTACTATGAAAAGTATTGATAACAGTAGTATTGGAGTCAAGACCGCACTAATCGAGACCAAGATCTGTCCGAGACCACAGGGTCCCGAAACCAAGACAAAACCAAGACCTCTGAGGATCGAGACCAAGACAAGACCGAGACTTTTAAAGGCTGAGACCGAGACAGGACCAAGACCACGTCCCATCGAGACCAAATCGAGACAATCTTTGTAATTTTTTACATTTATTTGTATTTTGGCACAGTTATGTCAATGTTTTTAGAAATCTATCTTCATTTTATCACTCGTCAACTGTCAGATCTCAAGACTGAGACAAGACCGAGTCCAAACACCTTCAAGACTGAGACAAGACCGAGTCCAAACACCTTCAAGACTGAGACAAGACCGAGTCCAAATGCGGTCAAGTCCAAGTCGAGACCAAGACTATGCTGTCTGGAGTACTACGACATTAGATAACAGCTACTGCCACTTCTTTTTACTATGACTCTCATAACATAGTCTTCTTCTCCCTCTACTTCATCTCTACTACTTTTACTGCTATTACTGCTACTGCTACTACTACTACTACTACTACTACTACTACTACTACTACTATTACTGTTACTGTTACTGTTACTATTACTGCAACTTCTATAACAAATGCTTTGTTTACAGTTATAATTACTACTTCTACCACTGTACTATCACAACAACTACTAGTACACCGTTCAGAAATACTTTTATACCGCAAATACCACTACTAGCAGTACTAATCCTTCTTCCTCCACTCTTGCCTCTCCTTCAGTGCACTGCTGTACTTCTGAAGTGGCTGGAGTGTTTGTTATGAAAAGCTCTGCCTGTGTTAGAAAGTGAAAGCAGGTCTGAATGTGTGGCCTGTGCAGACTGTGGAGAAGGTGAGAACGGATTTTGATCATTCAGGGCCCGTCCCCAGCTCTGCAGCAGCTCTGTGAGGAGGAGAGAGAAGAGAGAAGGAGGAGAGAGAAAGAGGATAGAGAGGAGAGGAGAAAGGGAGATGAGAGAGAGGAGAGAGTGGAGAGAGGAGAGAGAGAGAGAGAGGAGACAGGGAGGAAAGAGAGGAGAGAGAGGAGAAAGAGAGGAGAGAAGAGAGGAGAGAAGAGAGGAGCGAGGGCCAGACTACACAATCAGACAGATCACATTATGTATGTGTAGGCCTGTCACCATAACAACATTTGAGGCATGATATATTGCTTTCAGTGAATATATAACACTCTCTTCTTCTCCCTCTACTTCATCTTGTACTACTTTTACTGCTATTACTACTACTGCTACTACTACTATACTACTACTATTACTACTGCTAGGCTTACTACATAGATTTTTGCTACTACTGTTTACTCTTCCTTTTCTCTTTTCTTTACTATTAGCATTTTGAGGGTGCTGTTACTACAACAACAGCAACAACAGCTTCTACTATTACTACTACTACTATTACTTTTTTTGGGATCTTAGCCCAAAGTAGCTCACTGAGGAAAAAAAAGCTACGACTACTACTACTACTGAAACTACTAGGCCTACTACATAGATTTTTACTACTATTGTTTACTCTTTCTTTACCACTATAAGCATTTTGAGGCTGCTATTACTACTACCACTACTACTACTACTACCACTACTACAACTACTTTTACTGCCACTACTACAACTACTTCTACTGCCACTACTACTTCTACTGCCACTACTACTACTACTTTTACTGCCACTACTAATTTTACTACCACTACTACCACTATTTTTACTGCCACTATTACAACTACTTTTACTATCACTACTACTACTTTTACCACCACTACCAACATCACTACTACTACTACTACTACTACTACTACTACTACTAGTAGTAGTAGTAGTTTATGTGGTGTTGAACCAGGAGCAGCTTTGAAGTTTCCTGTATGAGTCATTACAAATATCTGAGTTTATTTCTTTAACCAAGGTCATATCTGTAGAATGAATCCTGCCATAAAGGATTTGTTTTTCTCACTTTTTCACTGCATACCTGGGCAGATGTTAGTTTGTCCAGTCGAGGTCAGGCTAAAATGACTGATCTTTATCAAAAATCTGCCAGCTTATTTTGTGAAATTATATTAAAAGATAATAATTCCATACATTTATTTTGTAACTGTTATACCATCGGGTGCGCCTCCTACTTGTCTCATGCATTTGTTATTGCTTTGTCTGGAATGTTTATAGTATGGCATTAAACGTATCTATCGTGTATCCAGTTGCCAATTGCAGGTGTTTCTATTGCCAAAAAACGTCTTGAAAAACAATATTTTTTTATGTGGGTTTGCCTTTCCTCAGATTTGATCTATAACTTGGCAAAGCTCTAACAACTCTGTAGTGACAAGCTGTAAGCAGACCCCCACCAGAAAAGCTACATAATTGAAATCAGTTGGAAAGTTCCCCTGGCTAAAAGGTCCCTAAGCTGGAAAGTTCCCCTGAATTGTACCCTTTATGAAAGTAAGTTAGTTAATCTATATAGAAGGTATTAATATAATAATAATAATAAATAAATCCATTATATATATTGTATTAATTACATGCAAGTTGCAATATATCTCAACACATTTGTTCATACATACGAACAAAACATGCAAAAATTATATCTCAAAAACACACATTCTGTAGCTTTCTAAGTTTCTTGTGTGTTGCGCTGCTTACAAATTATGTTCATGGCAGCAGGTAAGGAAATAATTCATATTTCTTCCCAAATCAAAAGTTACAGATGCTATAGGACATGGGGAACAAGAAAAAATTATTTTAAATACAATTTTATAGTAAACTTCTGCGAGCAAATGAGGATTATATTGACATTACATACTGAAAAAATGTGTGCCTCTTCAGGAAGATCAATAAAATGATATAAACAAGGCCCAACATTTGGTCTCGTTACATTCACATTTAATTTTGTTATGATATAAAATGCTGATTTTCTAACTTGATACATCACATTGCATGATGCAGCCAACTAAAGGCCGGTGAGAACGTCCCCCCTCTCCCGGGCACAGCAGCTACCCATGTGCCGCCCAAGAGAAGAGGGCACCCAGAGGGAGGAGGGGGACGTTCCTGCTGAGAGAATGGGACAGCACGAGCTGGGACTTTCAAGCCGGGGGACACTCGAGCTGGTATTCTACATAATGCACCTTTAAATGAAAATAGTTTTAGACTTAGACAAACTAAATGGTCATAATACATTCAAAATAAGTAGCAAAAATTGAAAGAAACTGGGGTCAAATAAGGCAGAGTTATATTAAAGTATATGTACAAGTAAAAACAAAAAAATATATATCTTTTTTGGATACAAGGAAAACTTTTCATTTCAAAATACATTTCATTTGTGGTTGTGGTTGACTAGAAAAATAAAGTATGACTTGCTTCGTCCGTATGAAAACAGGCTGTGCAAATGAAATGTGTCACCTTCACACATATTTACACTTTCAACCAAGATAGATAAAGAGTCCTGAGTGACTTTTTGTCAATATAAAGTCTAAGTAAGAGGGCTTTTCAAATTGAATCTGACAGCGTACACAAATTTACCAGAGTATATTGCTTTTGTAGAGCTTCTGTTGTACCATTTTAATGTCTAACCTTGTTTTCTGACCTTTTGTGCTGCAGGTGGGTGAGGGAGTTCCTGAACGAAGAGAACAAGGGGCTGGATGTGCTCGTGGAGTATCTTTCTTTTGCACAGTATGCAGTCACGTAAGTCACTCTTTCTCTTCCCTCCTCCACATTCATCTCCACTGTCCTCCTTTACAATAACGCTATTCTGCACCGACCAGTGACAAACGCCACCACCAGAAACCCTGAGTCACTGTTTGCTGATATACTGGCTCAGTGTTTTTCAGCCTATTCATAGATCCAACTTGTGAATATTAGTCACTCATGAGGGACACTCGCCTCACCAGGGACTTTAACTGGAGCATAGTGTGAAAAGCAGGGGTGTGTATTACCTTGAACTATTTCAATGCAAAAATAAAGGACAATATATTGTAATTTATCAATAATTGCATGTAATGTTATGGTTGAGTTCTAGGGATGGGACAAGATCTCGTGCCGCAAGATCTAGCGAGACAAAATTCCCACAAGATTTTGCACATGAGGAAAATTATCTTGAGATTTTTCATTGCATTTTTAAATTTGGATGAAAAAAGAGATGACCTAAGATGAGTAACTCCTCTGAAGAAGCTGTGATACTAAAAAGCATCGCTACAATGACAACAAAACTGTAAAAAGAGATAAAGGATCATATTCACAATTCTGTTAGCTTCTACAAAGTATGATGCATATTGTGAATATATCGTATCGTGAGATTTAGATATCGTTACATTCCTAGAAACAAGCTCAATCAGAGAGCAGCAACCTGGTCCCCCATGAGGCATTGATAGGGGCAGTTCATCACCACGGAAGCAGCTTATGAGGAGCCCAGCCCATATTACATGATCGTTATATCCACAATGCAATGTGTGTATCTGTACAGGCCCATGAACATTTGTGTAATATTGGTCACACATGAAAAAATGTGATTTTTCATGAGTTCCGTATATGTTAGTTGTGTGACTGTAGATCAGTGTGTTGTATATCACCAGAAAAAGAAGAAATGGAAATTATTTTCGTTCCAATTAGAATTTTAACGGCATACACTGAAAGAGAAAGGATCTGTTATAATTAGTGATTATCTCGAAAACTATTAATATTTTACTATATAAATGCATAAAATTATAAACTCCCATTGCTCGAGCTCAATCCTTCGCGGAGTTATGACCAAAAACGCATATTTGACCTTGGTTACCTTGGCCTTCAAGTGATCTTGACCGGTTTCAACCTGTAACATCCAGTGTACCCCGCTTATGTGTGTGCCAAGTTGTATGATGACTGGGTGAATATTTTAGCCCGCAGATGGTTCAGAAATTGCCGAAATTGCCTATCCTTTATAATGGCGTGACCTTTCAATTGACCCGTGTGACCTCAAATGACCTCGGATCATCACCAAACTTTTTTTTTGCGGTATCAGTCACAGGGGCTTGACCCACGTACCAAATTTGGTGACAAACAGTCCATAAATGGCAGAATTATCACGGGTGGACAGACACACAGACACACACACACAGGGTGAATACAAAACCTGGTCAACCCTTCGAGGACTAGGTAATAAGTAATAAAAATATCTCAGCAGTATACAAGAGGAAAAGGAAGGAAAACAGTGGAAAGATGATATGATTGACAGGACATAGGGTTATCTGTTACATAATGGTGAGTCCTTTATGCAGATTTTTAAAATTTTTTAAGTGTAAGCAGCCATGTTTGTTGTTTTTGACTCAAACCGAGCATGCTTCTCTCTGATTGGTTAACCCGCCTGTCAATCACACCCAGATCCACTCGTCTTTGTAAAATTTTGTCAAAGCGTATGGTTCTGGCTGCTCAGGTAACGGGAAACCCTGAGTCATTATTTGTTGATATACTGACTTAGTGTATTTCAGCCTATTCATAGATCCAGCTTGTCATTATTAGTCACTCACAGGGGCCACGGGGTTTGGCAGGTCATTTGAAACCCCAGCACCCCTTTTGCACCATATGTTATTATGGCCTGTCCGCATTATGGATGGCTAGCATTAAAGCCCTGCTCACCCATGGGTGCCTCTGCTGCAGCCACTGGAAGTCATGGAAACAGAGCTGCTATGTATAAGACTGTAATTAGCCAGGCTTTCCACAGCATACATCCACCAAGTAAAACAAACATGGTGGACATCAGGGACCAAACCATGAAATTTGATGGTGTTCATGGTAAAACTGACCACTCTTGTAAATCGTGGTGCTCTGACATCACCTTGAATATAAAGCATGTCATTTATACGGAAAGGTTAGTGGTGTACTGACAGAAATGAAAATCACAATATTTTGGTGAGGTTTTACGATTAACAATTGCCAGATAATATTTTTATAATCTAGGGGTGGAAAATAGCTCATTACAAATACTAATGTCATTGCAAATGTTTTGATTTTTTGGGGGTAATTTTGTGTTTTTTTTCTTATTGAAAAGTAAAATGCCGCTAAAACTGTGTAAAAAACAAAACAAAACAAAACAAAAAACTAGGAATGTTCCTCACCAGCGCAAGGAGCTATGAAGTTTCCCACAATCCACTGCGCAGATCAAACCCAACGTTTCCAAACACCATTGTACAAGTTACACTGCAGCAAATTATTGATTAAAATCTTCTGCATACATAACATGCATTAGTAATAACATTACTAAACTTTACAACAAATAAAGCATAACGACTATAGAGCCACATCAGCCCGTTTGGGATTATAATGCGTTTAATGCAGTTTTGCGCACGTGTTTACGTTTTACAGAAACAAAATCGCATGGCTAATTTGCATAAACAGTGCACTCCTTTTGCCACTGATGCGATTCATTTTCTTTTAGAATAAAGGACACTACTCAGTGGAATATGAGGATGTGCTGTTGATGGTCTTGTTTGTAAATGGTGGAAAATTTTCGTGGCGCTAGAAGCTTTTCACTGGCACCAACTTTCGGCGTTCACGGAGGTATTGAGGAGAGAATGAGATACAAATCAGGGAGGCGGGGGCGCGCACAGAGAAGGCAAACAAGTGAAGGGGCGAAATCAGAATTGAATATAAGCATTATTTTGATAGATACGACATGTCAGAATTCATATCGAGTTTAAAAATATCTTGATATATTTAAAATATCGAGATATCACCCACCCCCAGTTACAACTGATTAATCTGACAGCAGTACATGTAATTGAGTAAACATTTTAGTCAGATACCACGATATGAGCCTGTAAATGTCTTGGTTGAGGTTAAAGCAATATAATAAATCAATATATTTCCCATTTTACACATTGTCCTCAGATTGTGTGTCAGTTTATGATCTGACTATTATCTAAATAAATGACTTTTACTGTTCTTGCTGCAGATTCGATGGAGACTGCTTGGAAAATAACCCAGATGTCCTAGATAAGAACAAGCCCTGGGGTCGCTCCATAGAAGACCTGCATGGAGGAAGCACTTTGCCGTCTCCCATCACCGGGAACGGACTCACTCGTATGGGAAGACACTCAACGCTAAGGTAGGGCATCTGAATGAAAACAACCCCACCATTTATTATGTTTTCAAGTTGAGTATAAATATGTATAAGCTGATTTGGTCTAATGTAGTAAATTGTGAATATATTTGAACATATCTGCCACCTGCTTCAAGCTTATTTCCACAAATATTAACAATGCCAATAAACGCAAAGCTGGCTCTTTTTGAATATTATAATTACTCGCTTTTTAAAGGTGCATTATGTAACTTTTCTGGTGTAACGTCCATCAAAAAGCTTTTCTCCATGGAGATGTTATTGCTTTGTTTGGAAAGTTTCACAGTATGGTATTAAAGGGACAGTCCGGAATTTTGGACATAGGACCTAATTTCCTAGTGAGCCAGAGTGTTGGAGACATGTGGAGACACTTTTTTTAAATATTCCATCCAGTCCTTGTATTTGCAGGGGTCACTGGTGCTAGGCTAGTGCATGTCAATGGCCATAGTTATCCTGCCACTAAAAACAGTCTTATCCACTCCACAAAACACCCGAAGCAAATCTATATTATTACGCCAGATTGTCGATGTAAATGTCTGTGTTGAGAGAATAATTTTAGAAGTAAAACCAACCTTGCATTTGAAGGATTTATGTCTGAGCAGCAGCAGCGAGTTGTACTTCCTGATAAAAAAGCTCGGCAGCGGCGGACTGATATCACCTAGCACCTGTCTTACCGGCAAAGTAGAATTCCGCTGCTGCTGAGAAAATAGTCCCTCAACATGCAACAATTCAAGCATAACTAGGAAATGAAGTCCTATGTCCAAAATTCCGGACTATCCCTTGAAACCTTTCTAGTTTCCTTTCTATTTTCATGGAGACCAAACCAGTCCAAGTTACAGGTCAGGTCTGTGGAGAGGTGACCATGCTCACAGTCAGAATACCTTTTTTTCTATGCATTACTGAGCAATAAAACTACCTGTAACTGAATAAATATAAGGTAGAGCTGTTTAATGTCATACTATGGAACATTCCCGGTAGAGCAATGACATATCCATAGAAACAAGCAGGTGATGGACGCCCGACCAAAAATTTACACATTGCACCTTTAAAATAATTTTTTCGTAATTCATAATATCTGTAGTAAATTAGATTTGTTCAGTGTCTTCTTTTCTTTCACTTTTACTTTTCTGACCTGACCTTTATGTGTAATGTGTTTACGTGAATAAAAAGCGCGCTCTAACTGGAATGCGTGGGCAGTAACTTTGCTTTGGAAAGAAGGAGATGACGGGCAGCTGGTTCCTGCTCAGATCTTATCAATGTCTGATAAAATCTACTACCAACTTTGCATGTGTACTGTACTGTATAACTACCAGGGAATAATAAAACTGTATAAAATGAGAGTGCTACTGTATTAGATATATATAGTTTTATGGTAACACTTTAGATTAGGGACCACATATTAAAAGCTAGTTAATAGTAAAATACATAATAAGTGCTTAATTACATCTTTGTTAGTATTTATAAAGTACTTTAAATGCATTTTTGTCTAAGGCCGTTTTTTTTTGTGTGAGTACTAAACCATTAAATACTTTCTTTCCATTAAAGTAGAGATTACAATAGATGTTTCTGTGCATACTCTGAAGTCTTACTAAACATTAATAAGTGTTTAATTAATACCAACTCATAGCTAAGTAACAGCTAATTATTAAATGTGGTCCCTAAACAAAAGTGTCATCAGTTTTATATTTATATAGTTTTCAGTGCTTAATACAAATACATAGGACTGTCACTGCAACAAATTTTGAAGCACGATATACTTCTAAAGAGAAATATTGCGATAAATGATAAAATTTAAACTACTTGACACAATTAAAAGAAAGTAGGATCATCCCAGTAAACCATTTTTAAATATACTGTTTCATTAAATAGTCTGAGAATGAACCGAATTAGCCTTAAAAGTTGCTCAAATCTTATCGTATTACAACAAAAATTTAAAAAAAATGATCTAAATTATTGAATGATAAGTCGATAAAATACTTATCATGACAGACCCAGTAAGTCTTATTTATAAGTAGGCTACAATATTAGGGAGTAACTTGAACGGCCTTACAACTTTTTTACAGTACAATAGTTTTTTTGATAAGATGTTGCTCATTGCCAAAACAGGTGAAAAAAATATTGAAGTTGAACCTATGAACTTAACTTTTGTCTTTGTAGAATTTGTTTTTCGGTTCAGATGTTTGTTCAGGCGGTGTGAAGGAGATTATTTTAAGAAGTCAGACATTTCTTATGACTCCTTTATGTGGTCATGTGTCCTGTAAGACTTTAAATGGCTTAAGATACAAGGACAATAGTATTAACCTGGATTGTAAAGGTCCTATATTACACAAAATTGATTCTTGTGAGGTTTAAGACATGTTATAATGTTGTTACCTCCTCAAAAACATTCCTGCTGTATTCTGTCTACGTCTCCAAAAGTCAAAATGCTCAGTTTCAGCTTTCAGTTTGGGAGAAGAACTCAGCCTAAATATACAGGGTTTGTGTGTTAAATGTGTGAATGAAATAAAACACAACTCCAGGGATGTTTTTGATGAGGAAACAACATCAAAACATAGATCAGAAAATAGCGTAATATGGGCCCTTTAAGACATGCTTCGTTACTCAAGTTCATGTGACGCAATCTCGCATGAATGACAAGAATTTACCCGACGACCGATGACACACACTTCGAGTAAATTTGTTTAGACTACAGTTTTCATAAACAAGATTGGTGCGTGGGTGATTTCCTAGTGGTTCATTCATAACCCCGTTGGAAATATAAGGCCCAAGGCACAAAGCCAGTCATACGGATCAGCATTTCTTCGCTAATCCTCTCTGTCACTTTATTGACGTTTTGGCGGCAGCAGTGACTTTTGTGACCGCTAATCTGTTCACTTCAAGAACTAAAAACAGCGCACACAATAGTCCCAATCATACAATATGGCTCATGTTTTACTCGACTAAGTACAGCTTAAAGGTGCACTATGGAACTTTTCGTTGGGAGTCTGTCAGCTGCTTGTTTCTATGGAGATGTCATTGCTCTGCCTGGAATGTTCCACAGTATAACATTAAACAACTCTGAATTATATTTATTCAATTACAGGTAGTTTTATAGTTCAAAATACCGTATTTTGCGGACTATAAGTGGCACTTTTTTCATGGTTTGGGTGGTCCTGCGACTCATATATTAAAATTTTCAGACTGACAGCCGCGAGGGGGCGCTCTAGGCTCATGCGTCAGTATCTAGTACTACTTTTAGACTTTGCACGCACTGCGCATGCTGTAGCGCTCTAGGGGCATGCTCATACTCTAGTACACTACTATGTGCTACACTACTACCACTATCACTTTGCACGCTACTGCTTTGCCGCTACTGCGAATGCCTGTAGCCACTGTCTCGCTGCAAATGCTGTGAAATTTTTTTCTTTTCATTTTTCTTCTTCATTGCGCATTTTTTGGTTGGTGCGACTTATACTCCGGAGTGGCTTATAGTCCGGAAAATACGGTACCTAGAAAAAGAGGTGTTCTGATTGTGAGTGGTTTCGCCTCTCCACTGATCTAACTTGGTCTGGTTTGATTTCCATGAAGATAGAAAGGTTTAATGCCATACTGTGAAATATTCCAGACCAAAGCAATAACATCTCCATGGAGAAAACCATTTGACAAACAGACCCTCCACCAAAAAAGTTACACAATGCACCTTTAAGTTAAATTGTTTTCCAATATGAAGTAAAGTAAGTCAGTGTCATTATTTTTAGTTAAACATTTGTAAATATACTTTTTTACTATTTAAACATTTATTTATTTGCCTTCTGTTTTAGAGTGGCAGATATATTTTACTTCACTTGTCAAGACCATTTTGCCAGATTAACGTTTATGATCTTTCAAATTAGAAGATTCATAGATCAAATTTTAGATGAAACATTTGCACATCTTTAGCCTAATAGCATAATTGCCTATGTCATTTTTTTTGGCCAAATTGTGATATCTGCCTAACTTTACAATGTGCTTCCTAAAAAATTTTGTTTTTTCTTGTTTCCGAAAACGTTCAAATGTGACTTGGGCAACTATGCTATTAGGTTAATGAAATGTAGCTTTCCATGGGACTTTTCAACACCAGTTTGATCAGCCTGTTAGCAATGTCATTTTCTGTACCAAAACACTTTTACTCAGTTATACAGTACAACCTTGTTTTTATCGACATGTGCCCATCTTTTAGGCCTGATGTATTGGACGAATTCTCTCTCTTATTGATATTTTGTTTGCTAAATATCAATACTAGCCTGAGGATGCAGTGTGTGGGTCGATGCGCTTACGTAACAAAGTGTGTTTGTCTGTCTCCTCTCTTCTGTACGGCCCCATAGTGAAGTTCTCTACTGTTTGCCAGTCCTCGAAAGCAGGCAGGTCTCAGCTTTGCACCGCTGCTCCCCTGTCCTCCCAGTGAGCTCTGTTCATGGAGACACCTGGATAGTTCCGCTTCTCTCAAAACTGTGGATCTGCACTTCCTGCTCCATTTATTGTGTATTGGGAATTAGCTGAGTCGTGATAAAATTAATCTATATTTAAATATTAGACAGAGGACGGCAGCTTGGGGATACATAATCACAAACGGCGTGATAAAACCTTTACGACAATGTAATTACTTCAATGGAGGAAGCTCAGGATTCCCATTCTTTTTCACTGACAAAATTTCTAATATTTTCCATGACTTTTTCATGACCTAAAGTAAATTTTCTATGATTTTACGGCATATACATGTGTAGAATTTAGCATACATTTAGGGCTAAATGTGAAATGTTAACCTTTCCACTCACCTTATAGTTAAGTATTATAGTTTTTTTAACATTCAAAATACTGTCAATGCATTTATTGTTGTCTTTTTTAAACAAAAGGCGCATACATTCAGAAATAATCATAATAGCCAAATGATAACCTCGCCTGTTTTCTTCGTGACACATAATAGGCTAATGATAACTAAACACAACACTGTAGTTGAATGAAAGAGATACTAAAATTCCATGACTTTTCCAAATCTTTCACTGAATTTACAAAATTTCATGACTTTTCCAAGACTGGAAAATGACATTTTCAATTTCTGTGACTTTTCCAGGATTTCCATGACCGTGGGAACCCTGGAAGTTTCTGTGTGCGTAAAAGAAGGTGTTTATGCCTAAAAGCTAATGCTAATGCTAATATAATCTAAATGTCAAAATAGAACACAAAACAACATGAAAAAAAAAAAAAAATACAAATACAAATAAAATAAACTAAAAATACATCTAGTTGGTTGTTTTTATGCACAAGATAATTCAGATTGTAGTGTTGTTTTAATGTCACAAATTATTTTTCATTTCAGTTAGCACTAGCTTCGAGACACAAAGACCTACTTTTCTAATCACAGAAGCTTCCTCTGGTGTATGTACAGTATTTACATCGTAGCAAAGGTCTTAACATGCTTTCTGTGATTATATATCTGTAACCTGCTGTTCTCTGTCTAATATTTAAATATAGATTTATTTTAGCACGACTCAGCTAATTCCCAATACACAGTGAATGGAACAGGAAGTACAGATCCACAGTTTTGGGAGAAGCGGAACTATCCAGCCAAGCTCCGTGAATAGGGCCAAAACAAAAACAACAACACATAAATACGTAGTCGCACAATCCCCTTTGCTTCATTGTACCTCCCTGCTATGCTAGCTTTAGCCGCTGTTGTGTCCCCGCGTCAGGGATGTGAGTTATCGTGCTGCCAGCCTCCCCTCCTGCGCTCACCGCTCAAATCTTCTTTTTCCTCGGAGCAAATGGCTTTTTCTGCTTCCATTGTTCTGGCTGTGTGCTGCTTGTGTGGCTCCCCAAATGCCACGGCCAACAGAAGCTAGCCTAGTTTCCACAACAGCCCCCAAGCGCTAAAACGTTTCCCAGTATCGAGCATGGACGCAGTTATGGGAATAGTTAGTGTTAGCTATAGATATACACATTTATGAAAACCCCCATGATTATAAAAATGTTCTCCTTTAAAGGTCCTGTATTATATAAAAAGGTTATAATGTGGTTACCTCTTCAAAAACAAACCTGGAGTCGTGTTTTGTTTTATTCACACACGTCTGAGTAATCCTGGTTTAGACTGTCTACAAGGGATGTATCAATATCCAAATCTTCCAGTATGATATTTATTGTGATATTTTGTGGAAGCTAACAAAACTGTGAACTTTTTCCTCTTAAATTGCCTTAAACGGCCTTTGGTTCTGTCATAATCCAAAGAACTACAATTTGAATGTGCTTGTAAGTTATTTCTTCATGTAGTCTGCACGGAAATGGAGCAAAGGATCATGGTCTATGCAGTTCCATTTGTTAATTTAAGCGAAGAGACTTGTAATTTGATATATTGTGATGATCCACGAGATTATTGTGAGATCTTTGATGATACGATATCCCAATATTCCGATTATTGTTACATCCCTACTATCTACATCTCCAAAGCTCAAAATTCTCTGCTCCACCTTGTGATGTCATGTAGTGGTACTTTTCAAGTTGACAGCTACCTTTTAATTTTGTTTAGTAGACTAGATATTGGCAATCCATAGGGCTGAACTACCAGATTATTCCATGAAGGTGCATAGAGTGTTTCCTGTATTACCCCATGACATCACAAGGTGGGACAGAGTGTTTTCTGTTTGAGAAAAGAACTCAGCCCAAATAAGCAGGGTCCATCCATCCATCCATTTTCTTCTGCTTATCCGGCGCGGGGTCAAGGGGGCAGCAGTTTAAGCAGGAACTCCCAGACTTCCTGCACCCCAGACACTTCCTCCAGCTCCTCCGGGGGCACCCCAAGGCTTTCCCAGGCCAGCTGAGAGACATAGTCCCTCCAGCGTGTCCTGGGTCTTCCCCGGAGCCTCCTTCCGGTGGGACAACGCAAACACAGCTCCTGTTCCGGTTTTACAGGGACCAGACAGTCCTTAGCAAAGGGCTCCAAACCCCATGCTCCCAGAGCACCCCCCACAGGACACCACGAGGGACACGGTCGAATGCCTTCTCCAGATCCACAAAGCACATGTGGACCGGTTGGGCAAACTCCCATGAACCCTCGAGCACCCGATGGAGAGTGTAGAGCTGGTCCTGTGTTCCACGGCCAGGACGAAAACCACACTGCTCTTCCTGGATCCGAGGTTCAAGTATCGGTCGGATTCTCCTCTCCAGTACCCTGGCATAGACCTTACCAGGGAGGCTGAGGAGTGTGATTCCCCTGTAGTTGGAACACACTCTCTGGTCCCTCTTCTTATAAAGAGGGACCACCACCCCGGTCTGCCAGTCCAGAGGTACAGTCCCCAACAAACTGGGGTGGTGGTCCCTCTGTATAAGAACGGGGACCGAAGGGTGTGTTCCAAATAAGCAGGGTTTGTGTGTTTAACATGTGTGAATGAAACAAAACACAACTCCTGGTATGTTTGTTATGACATAAATCAGAAAATAGCGTAATATGGGTCCTTTAAGCTTGCTCCATTTACTTTCAGAGTTATTTTTAACAGTAAAATGTTGATTAAGATTGATGTTTCTTTCTGTGCGTTCTGCTTGAAGGGCACCAAGTTCACTGAGCTGTCCCAGGTGTGCTCAAATGAAAAGGTATGTCTGTCAGGATAGTTACTAGCAGAACAGCAGTAGGTATATACTATGTGTTTAATTAGCATCCTCTGTAGTACTGTACTTCTTTTGTCTTGAAATACTTCGTAAGCTCTTTTGGCATGTTAGCTCAGTAGTTTCTCACTGTATAAATAGCATAGTCGTGTAGTTTTGCCTGTAAAAGAACCCACAACAGAAGTATTTGACTAGTGACTTTTCCTATTGAAGTGGCTGCCACATTTCTGTCATAATTGTCTCATAAATCTACTGTCGTCTGTTTATTTTGACATGGACTGTGCTTCACATGTGGCTCTACAAAAGGAACATAGACAATGGAAACTGACTACAAAGACAATAGGGCAACTTCACAATACCAAACATGTCAATCAAGAGGCATAGACTTCATGTTTTATTTCCATAGTTCCATATATATTCCATATTTTTATTTCCATGTTTTATTTTATGGATAGAAAACATGGTCATTACATTAACTAGTCTACACTCTGAATTTATAGTTTGCTACTGCCAAAACACTTCCTGGCTTTGCTTAAATCACATATTTTAGACCATCGGAATCCTCTGTGCTGTGAAGAAAATCTGTTCAGTTTTGCTCATGACTTGACTTTACTTTAGCCTAGTTTGTTCCAACTATTCATTTATAAAAAAGGCCTGATTTTGACTGCCTTAAAACGTGAAAAACTGTGAAAAACTATTCATTTTAATTGGTTTGGAGTGGTCCAAAGTTATGGCGCACTTTGGCCAGCTTCTGCATTTTGAGCATCCTAATTATTCACTGCAGTGACTTTATAAGGTCTTTTCACGACTTTTTCTCAGAGACCAATGCAGAGTGTTGCAGTGACCGTAAATCTAGCATGCTAATGAGCTCTTCCTGATTATTGGACAACAAAATGCTTTCTATTTAGATGCAAACGGCGTGCAGTGGAATTATTCTGAGAGCTGCTTATACAATATAGCTGACTAAATTTGCTCAAAAACAATGGGGAAAAAATGAAATTGTGTACAGTCGCTTTAAAGCTCACTGTGGTTTTGGTTCAAACAGGGACTTTGGGAGTATGCTTACATTTTTACTGTACACAATGGATCAACTAGGCCTAAAAGTGTCCGTTAAACATTTACAGAATACAAGTATGACAAAACGCTACACCTCCCCTTTAAGTTTATTTTAGTTTTCTTTCAAAAAGCCTCATTCTCCAATGACTCACGAGGGAGTCATGTCCTCAGGTTGGGATACGTGACGGGCGGTGGAAGAAATACTCAAATTTGTTACTTAACTAAAAGTACAGTACCGAAGCAATGAATGAAAAAAATCAAAAGAAAAAAATCTTCTCAAGTAAAAGTATTAAAGTACCTGTATACAATTTAACTTAAAGTGTAAAAGCTAAAAGTATTTCACATTTTGAGATCAAATAATAAAATCTGAAATGTAGAGATGTTGATAAAGATTTGCATTTGAATTTTGTTCAACAGAAACAATTTTATGAATCAATTGTTTGGTTTTAGCAGTTTTTATTTGCATATTTTTGTTTGATAAAAATAAATCCTTAGTCTTTTCATCAGGTCTCAAACAGTAATAAAAAATACTTTTACTTTTCGGTCCTGATCAAAATGTAGTGGAGTAGAACGTACACATACCTGCTCTCAAATATAGTGAAGTAAAAGTAAAAAGTATCCACTTTAAAAAGTACTTAAAGGTGAATTGTGTAAATTTTCTGGTGGAGAGCCCGTCAAACACAGTATGGCATTAAACATTTTTATGTTCATGGCAACCAAATAAAACCAAGTTCTTATTTTATTTGACTGGTTTTATTGTTTTAAGAATAGTATGATTTAATCTGAGCATTTGTTTTATCATTATATTATTATTGTTATGTATTTGTGCAGCAATTTGGAAACTGTTTGTGAAATGTGCTATATAAATAAAGTGGATTGGAAGTTACAGGTTAGATCTGTGGCGTGGCGACCCACAAATCTGCTCACAGTCAGAATGCCTGTTTCTTTAGGTATTTTTAAGCTATAAACCCACCTGTAATCAAATAAATGTAAGATAAATCTGTTGATGTCATATTGTGATCCATTCTAAGCAGAGCAATGACATCTCCATAGAAACTTTTACTTCATTACATTCACACATTTTCTCTCTGCGCCTCTGTGTGTTTTGGTCATTGAACCTTGTGACCAAAAGTCTGAAAATAAACAGTTTTGTCGTCGCCCGCTGAGAATATAACTGATAAACGGCTGCTTCCACTCCCCACACACAGGAGTAACTGCACGATCACGCCTTGCATACAAATGACAGCCATTGTGTGCACACTCGCCGTAATCTGTGAAGGATGTGTAAAACAATTCAAAGTGGGCATCGCTGTGGTCCCTGGCGAGGCTGTAGATTATATAGTCTTTGTGTGCGCGTTCGCAGCTCTGGCAGTTTAATAGCTCTTGTTTATAAAGCCAATGGCGTGTGAGGGCTGCAGTCACAAATGGCATCTGTTAAGAGCAGTTTGTCCGGGCTGTGTACGCTCTCCGGTGCCAATACCCCACTCAGTGTCAAATGGGCACTCCAGCTCCATTCACTAAACTCACTATGGTGGTTTTATTTTACATATGTTTGCAGATGTAACACTCTGCCCAGCCGGAGGACGCTAAAGAACTCCAGGCTGGTGTGTAAGAAGGATGACGTCCACGTTTGCATCATGTGTCTACGCGCCATCATGAACTACCAGGTCAGATCTGTGTAGAAAATGAAAATGTGTCATGTGTTATTGTACTTTCCTGTGAAATATCTAAAATGTAAACTTACAAATCTTGAACCTGATCGTTTTTATCAGTGACTAGACCCAAGAACTCACCATATTATCAACAGAAATCTGCATTTTAACAATATTTACAATACAAATATCTTGATGTAAAGCTTTTTGAGTGCCTTGAAGGTGGAAAAGCCTTATAAAACTTGAATATTTACCATATTATTGGCCTATAAAATGGTGCAATGTCATCTGAAAACTCCCAATTGGAAAACCTGGATGACAAATATAAAGAATTTTTAAAAAGAAGAAGTTTTAAAGTAACTATTGGTGTTGATGTATTGTCTAGAAAAGGTAAAAGGGGGCAGATAACATATGATTACTCTTCTTTCTGCTCCTTTTCATCCATTTCTTGTATGTTTGATGTTGTTGCACTGTTAATGTCTTTTTATACTTGAATGAAATAAACAAACAAATAATAATTATGGTTCACACAGGTGGGAATATGGGAAAATTACCACATCAACAAATAATTTCATTTAAATGTAAATAAAGGGGTAGACTAATATAAGTTTTTTCATCATATCTGCTCATTTTTAATCTTATGTATATTTGCATCAGGGGTCTCCAACCTTTTTCTTCCGCTGAGCTACTTTTACAAAACAAAAATGCCGAAGAGCGACTAGTTTTAGCAGTCACAAGAAACTGAGTAAATATAAAAACCACAGCAAGTTTAGATAGGGTACAGTTAAAATAAATCATTGTCCATTTATTAGTGTACGAAGTTAGGCATCAAAATTATATATTTACAATGAATTTTTCTTATCCAGCAGAATACGTATAATTCACTTGGAAGGGAGTGGAGAGCTACCAGTATCTCCCGAGCTATAAGTTGGAGACCCCTGATTTACATTATGTGTTGTCATTCATTGTGCATTTTCATGAGAAGGAAAAAGAGGAAAAATTTAACGAGATTAAACAATAAGATCTCTATAATACTCCCAAACAGTGTCCACAAGCACTCAGGAATACATTTAGCTAAAGCCAAACTGAATGAGCCTCCTTCATTTTGCACATCGCCCCCCAGTGGCTCCTCGTCCATATTAATGAGCTTGTTTGTCCTGATTCTCGTTGCAGTACGGATTCAACATGGTCATGTCTCACCCACACGCTGTGAATGAAATTGCACTAAGTCTCAACAATAAAAACCCCAGGTAACGTATCACCACCTAACAATCTCTGTGTCATAAATTACATCTCTTTAGAGTCTGGTTTCAAGTGTTAGAATTTTAAACAAAGGAAGAAAATTGTGAAAGATGTTTTTTCTATGAGTTTTTCTAAGTCACACTCGCTTAGTCCACTTCTTTATACAGTCTGTGATTGTGAGTTACATCGAAGATTCCACCTTTTCTTTTCATGGTCTCAGTTATCACGATCTTAAAATTGTTTCTAATAATCATTCGACCATTCAGCACAAAAGTTACATTACACAGCATATAGATCCTGATGAAAAATGAATAATTTTTTAAAAGTATATAACAGAGGCACATCTACTACAGCTGACAGGGCAGGACTGTTCCGGTTCACTCCTCCTCGCACTCCTCTTCTCACTACTCCTCACTTTTCTCCTCTCACTCCTTCTCATTCTCCTCCTCACACTCCTCCTCTTTCCTCCTCTCTTCTCCTCTCACTCCTCCTCACTCTCCTCTTCTCGCTCTTCCTCTCACTCCTCCTTGGACTCCTCCTCACTCCTCCACTCACTCCTCCTCATTCTTCTTCTCACTCCTCCCCTCATTCCTCCTCACTCTCCTCCTCTCACTCCTCCTAAGTACTCTATCTCCTCCCCTCACATTTCTCTGTCTCCTTCTCCTTCTCACTCTTCTCCTTTCTCTTCCTCTCACTCCTCCTCTCACTCCTCCCCTTACTCCTCTGCACTCTCCTCCTCTCACTCCTCTCCACTCCTCCCCGACTCCTCCCCTCATACCTCATCACTCTCCTCTCATTCCTCCTCTCTCTGCTCCTCCTCACGCTCCTCCTCATTCTCCTCTCTCCTCCTCTCTCTCCTCCTCCTCCCCGACTCCTCCCCTCACTCCTCCTCTCTCTCCCCCTCTTCCTCCTCTCTCTCCTCCTCCCTCACTCCTCCTCATTCCTCCCCTCACTCCTCTCTCCTCCTCCCACTCCTTCCCTGACTCGTCTCCTCATTCGTCCTCATTCTTCTCCTCTCACTCCTCCTCTCACTTTTCTTTCTCCTCCTCACTCCTCCCGTCACTCCTCCTCTCACTCCTCCTCACTCCTTCCCTCAGTCCTCACTACATCAGCAGCTGACAGAAGAAACGACCCCATGCAGCGTGTGTGTCTGGTTGTGTGTCTAGGTGTGTGTCTAGGTGTGTCTGGGTGTGTGTGTGTCTGGGTGTGTGTCTGGGTGTGTCTCTCTCCTGCCCCGGGCTCAAGGATTTCCTCAAAATTCAAAGTCAAACCGCAGAGACTTGAACTGTCACACACTGTCAGCTCGAGTTCTGTCAGACCTGCATGGATGAGTGGACAGTCAGCGCACCTTTAAGAGTTCACTTTTTTGATATTTTTTCATTGTCCACAACAACAAAATACAACATTACTAAACAATGAATCAGTAATTATCTTAACAAATTATCTTCTATTAAATTATGTCCAGAAAACTGTGAAAAAGATGGAAATTTGTACTGACAAACAAATGCAAGAATCACATTTCAGAACATGTTTGTACAGCTCTAAACTACAGGGTTAAAAGTTTACATGCAGACAGGATATTTTGTTGTTTGTGGAGGAAATTATGGTACTTGAAGATTGGTGTTTTGAGGGAGGAAATATTATAACATAGAACAGAAAACAGGGTAATGTGGGCACTTTAAAATTGCAGCCTTCGTAATTTGCTGTCCATTAAAGGGACAGTTTAGAATTTTGGACATAGGACCTCATAAATTATTACGCCAGACTGTCAATGTAAATGTCTGTGTTGATAGAATACTGGTTGAGATAAAACTAGCTTTGCAAATGAGAAAACAAAATGACGTCATGTTTTTTTTTTTGGCATTGGCCATTTTGGCAAAAAGCGTCCGTATCAACAAGTCAACATCATCAGCAGTTATCAGCGTACAACATCAACAATCATCATATAACAGTGCAACATCAACAATCGTCATACAACAGTACAACATTAACATCGTCACCGATTATCGACAAGTTTTAACTTTTCAAAGTAATGTTTTTGATCCTCAACATTCCGTGACTTAGAGTAAGATGATGAAGTCATGTCAGAACAATTAAGAGCAAAACCTACTTCAGTATAAGACGAGTTTTCTCATGATAGAGACGTACGCAACGCAACTGTCAACACAAACAAGCGGCCCCACTGACTTTTTGGTTACGTTTTCTCGTATCGCATGAATCGTTGCATGTTGAGGGACTATTTTCTCATATATCAGTCCGCCACTGCCAAGCTTTCTATCAGGAAGTACAACTCGCTGCTGCTGCTCAGACATAAATCCTCCAAATGCAAGGTTAGTTTTACTTCTAAAATTATTCTATCAACACAGACATTTACATCGACAGTCTGGCGTAATAACAGATTTGCTTCAGGTGTTTTGTGGAGTGGGTAAGACTGTTTTTAGTGTCAGGATAACTATGGCCATTGACATGCACTAGCCTAGCACCAGCGACCTCTGCAAATACAAGGACTGGATGGAATATTTTAAAAAGTGTCTCCACACGTCTCCAACACTCTGGCTCTATGTCCAAAATTCCGAACTGTCCCTTTAATATTGCAATTTTTAATATTGCGATTAATTTTGTAGCCTAATCTTATATATCAGACCTCAGCCTAGAATTACTACATAACACCATTCTCTTAAAATGCGTGGCACATGTACACTCTTCACCGTTTTCATTTACTAACCGCTGTCTTTTCATTTGCCTTACAGAACAAAAGCTCTCGTCTTGGAGCTCCTAGCGGCGGTGTGTCTCGTGAGGGGGGGCCACGAAATCATCCTCTCTGCGTTTGACAACTTTAAGGAGGTACGTAGCAGCTTACGAGACTGGACCAAGGGGAGAGGGGGAGGAGGAGGAGGGAGCAGGGGGGGTCTGCTACATACACAATAACATATGTCATTACATTTGCACTGTGGAGTTTCAAAGGGGTGAGTCAGAGCTGTGGAATGTGCTCTCCTGACACACTTCTGCTGCCTCTGGTATTGTGTCTGGGACTCAGGTCTCAAGGAGGGATTATGGATTTTGTAGTTCAGGAATCCACTCAAACTCTTACAAAAGATAGTAATTTTCATGTTTTACCAAACTACTGAACTAAATAGGTTACGACACAGTAGGATTCAATGTCAGTGTGAACATTTTGTCAAAATTTCAGCTGGACAATAGGAGTCTATCTATGTATGAAGTCTGTGGGAAATTCACTGTTATTGAAAGAAACACTATGATATTATGAATTAGAAATTTGCCATGATAAAGTTGTTTCGTAAAATCTTTTTAAGTAAGAACAATAGCAGCCTTGTGTTTAAATGTGAAACTGTTCAAGAAAGGTCAAATTTTATCCAGTTATGTGATTTTTTTCCCCCAGTATCGGAACCTGCTTAAACAGTGGTGTAGTGGGGATTTTTTAAGTGACCAGGAGGACTAAACCAGAACTACACCAGGTCTAAATCAGGACTAAACCAGGACTAATCTTGGACTTGAGAGAGAGAGAGAGAGAACCCCAAGCCAGTGGAGCAGGGTGTCCACATAGTGAGATTGAGTGATGGCTGCGCTTAGCTCTGTGAGGCGGTCACCCGATAATCTACGCGGGCACACCTCCGGACCTGTCCCGACACTCAGTCGTGGTTTAGTTCTGGTTTAGACCTGTTTTAGTCTTGTTTTAGTCCTGGTTCAGTCCTGGTCCCTCATGTCTCAGGTCACTATAGGACAGTAGTGCAGATATCATGAGCCTATGCAGGTTGTTTTCACTGTTGCCAGTAGCTCCGGTTTGACATTTAAGTTGCAGCTGTTTTATATTTGTTATTTTTTATATCTCACGTCGGGAGAAGTGGGTGAACGGCGTACCCCCGCATACCACGCTCACTACACCCCTGTGATTAAATGAGTATCTGCTTTCGAGTTTTATTGATTCTTATCTGATTGTCTATACTTCTGACAAGTCTAATCACAACAACGCTTGCAATAAGATAAAACAACTCGTTCTACTGGCAAATCTTACTTTAAGACAATCAAAATATACTCAAATCAAGATAACTTGTACTTGTTTGTTGTTGTTTGCAGTGATAGTAACAGATTTTAACCAGAAATTAACCATGAACCTTGTAAAACATCAGCATTCTGACAAAACACACAAGAATTCTAACAAACCCTCCAACTCGATTTGCAACTATTGATTTTTTTGAATGTCCCGTGGAAAAAAAAAACTGGAGAAATCTGCAGACAGAGACAAACCCGCTACCTCACTTGACCTTTGTTGTCTGTATAAAGCCTGTGGGGGGGGGGGTTTGTGATGGAGTGGTCTAGCATTTCCTCCTTTTTCCAATCCGGGGGTCTGCAAACACGGACTGACTGCAGTTAATGCAATATTTACACGGGTGAATGAAATATTGAGTGTAGCTCTGGGAGGAACTGGCATTAGACTCAGATTAAGGAGCTGGCCTTTAATGAGACGGGGATTTTGAATGTTGTTAATATATAAAGCTTGGACTAGAATTACCTTTTTTTTGTACACGCAATGAGATAGTGTAAGAAAATAACAAGATATAATCAAGACATTTTATGCATGGTTTTGGATGCACCCTTCCAGTACCTCACATACCCCCTTCTCCCCCTTTCTACCCGTTTATCATGCTCTATCTCTTTTGCATCGCCCTCTCAATGAACTCACTGAACTCAAAACATCGTCTCTCCTTCTCAGTCCCTTCATCTTCACTTTTTCATATTTCACGGATTTTTTTATGTCGTACTGACTGCAGCAGCCCACACATAATAAAGATTTAAGCATAAGTAGTGCAGTGTTAGACAAACTGTATTGATCCACAAGGGAAATTATGTAGACACAGTCGCTCACATGTCACAATAAATTATAATAAGAGCAAAGAGCAAAAATATAAATGGTAATACATTCAAAATAAGTAGCAAAAATAGCCACAGACTGGTGCTGAAAAATGCATAATTATAAAAATGTATATGTACAGGTAAAAATATAGAAATATAGTAATACAAAAATATCTGTTGTATTAAGACTACTGAACTGTATTATCCATTATTGTTGTTTGGTAACTTTTATGGTTTATTTAGGGTGACCAAACGTCCGTTTTTCCCCGGACATGTCCGTATTTTGCGTCATGTACGGGGCGTCCGGGTTTTTTTTTATAAAGTGATGCAAATGTCCGGGTTTTCAGTACCGTTCATTGGGGGCATTGGGGGCAGAAAATGTGGACTCACCAAGTTTGTACCCAGAACTCAGAATTCTTAGCCTGATTCATTTCTGATTCGCAGCATTAAAATTCGTTCTCTCATCGGTAGGCGAGTACTTTTTTTATTTAAACAATCGCTGCTATTTGGTCGTGACGTATATAATGCGCCAAATCCCATAGGAAGAAGGGCATTAACGTCTTTCCCCTTGATAATATTCACCAAACATCTTTGCTCCGGCTTTAAATCCTCGATCTCGGGAATCGTTGCCAACACAGAATGTATGGTTTGGTCTACATCCATCTCGAGCGCTTTGTTTACTGTTGTGCTGTACTACAAAAGGGACCCAGACAGGCGCTTGAGTTTGTCATGGCTTCACAGCTCTTCACTGATTAGCAGGTGCACGGTCTACAACTTCTGGGGTTCTTGCAAAGCGTCTAATGTATTCCGATTCCTGACCTAGTCGCTGCAGAGAAATGAAATTGAGTGGAGGCACTAGGTGGCACCAGTCTGGTTAAAGAATTCTGCCTCAAGACGCTCCTTGATGAGAACTGATTGAACTGATAGTAAGCTTTTATAATCAATTGTATTTCAAATATTCAATTATCATATTTAGTTCCAAGACCAAATGATGCCCATGTAAATATTAAAGGTGCTGTACCTGATTTTACTATAAAAGGTATCGGTTTATGCACATCACTGGTGCGAGGCTACTACAGTGAACAAAATAGATCTACACTTTTTTATAATCTGCCATTGTGGAGGCTTATTTAATATTTTGTAGTGGAATACTTGTATGAAAAAAAATCTCCTGTTTCAATCCTGGACAGGCCTTGGCTCTAGACGTCTCTTAATAATACATCTTTAGCCTTTAAGTACACACTGTGCTCCACACCACTCTCTCATTTTTATTTTCCTTCACCTCAGCTGTTTTTCTGAGAGCCCTCGGTTAACAATTTCTTGCATTTTCATTGCTACTTTCTTTAATCAAAAGGAATTCAAGTCAGCAAATGTGACTTTTATTTGTGGTTTTACAAGTAGCTAGTGACTGACTTGTGTGTGTTTTTTTTGCAGGTCTGTGCCGAGGAGCAGCGTTTTGAGAAGCTAATGGAGTATTTTAAGAACGAGGACAACAATATTGACTTCATGGTACGCTTCACTCTCCTAATGACTATTGATGCGGCTCTAATCCCCAGAATCCTACACACATTACTGCAGAGAAGGTCTTTTTCACCTGAAGAAAAGCTTAATAAAAGAGTAATACTGCCTCCATTACACTTTTGCCTGGAGCTTGAAGTCTCTATTGAGCAAGACTGTGAGGAACTGCAGGCCCAGATGAGACACAGATCCAACATTAATCATATATACCAGGTGGTTTAGGAGTTTAGCTTTATGTATGCCTTATTTTTATATTCTGTTCAAGTGAGGAAAGAAAGTGCAGCTCAAATATGGCATCAGATTTTGTTTTTATGAAGAAGTGAAACTGGTTACTGGACTGGAACTCAATCAAGGAGAGACTGAAACTGACAGACAGAAATCATCTCTGTAGTGTACTGATTAGATACAAACAGTGATTCTTCACTGATGCTATGGGGCCATGAAAATGTGGATTTATCATATTATACAGAATATGTGAGAATATGTGGGCTCACCAAGTTTGTGCCCAGAGCTCAGAATTCTGCCACAAGATGCTCCATCGTGAGAACTGACTGAACTGATACTAGACTTTTGTAATCAACTGTATTTAAAATATTCAATTATCATATTTAGTTTCAAGACTATATATGATTAGCCTGATTCATCAGATGATTTCACTTTGTGGAAACTGTCTGACCTCACAGTATTAGGATTTGTTTGCTCGATGATACGGGGTACTTTTTTTATTTAACCAATCGCTACTATTTGGTCGTGACGTATGTAATGTGCTGGAACACTCAGTGGTGTGTCTGTCCAAGTAATTGCTGGATTGCAAACAAAGCAGAGAGTGAACATGTCTGTCAACGATCATTGTCGTTTCTGCGAGGTGAACTTGTGAATTAAAGGTGCAATAAAAAATGCAAGTTTGTATTTGACAAAGGAAGTCCAAAGGAGGATAGTGTATGCAGTCTGCTGTCGCAACTCAGGCTGGTTCAGCTCTTCACTGACTGATCAGTGCGTGGCCTACAACTTCCAAGGTTCTTGCAAATCGTCTAGTGTATTCTGATTCCTGACCTAGTTGCTAGAGAAAAATGAAAATGAGCGGAGGCACTAGGTGGCACCAGCCTGGCTAATATATGATGCCCGTGTAAATATTAAAGGTGCTCTACCTGATTTTACTATAAAAGGTATACGCCCATCACTTGTGCGAGGCTACTACAGTGAACAATAACAAGACTGCACACTTACTCCCAAACTGCATTTAATGAATGACAATGTTGGATTGGTTGGCCAGTCCAAAAGTCCAAAAGTGAGCCATAGGAGATGTCCACACAAAACAATATATAACCCATTATATACTGTATGTTCTCCTATGGCTCACTTTTGGATTGGACAACTGATCAGTGGGCACATAAAGAAACGTTGTCATTCATTAAATGCAGTTTGGGAGTAAGTGTGCAGGCTTTATCTCACTTTCTATGCCCCTTAAAAATGTGAAAAACGTAACTAGTTCAGTTTCCGTTGTAGCGGTTCAAAGCGATTCCTCACTTAACTATTAACTAAGGCATTCCCTGCATCTTAATTATTCACCCAAGTGTGTAAGCTCTTTCACAGGCCAGAGTGATGTTTTACTTCTTTGGTAATAACTAAGGACAGCTCGCAGGCTAACAACACACTTTCTGCTTTATAATTAGATTAGATTAATAAGATGTAGACAGTTCCTATTCTGACCATAATTGATTCTTGAAAGTAGAAATTTTGCTCAACTAAATAGAGAAAAAAATTGGTTACAGACACTTCAAGAAAACAAATGTTGAATAATATAAAGTAATACATTTTATTTTGACATTTACCACTGACAATATGTAAATTCTAACAACAACATCATGAAGAAATTATGTCTGTACAAGAAAGTTGAATCCCTCAGTACACAATGCACCATATTAATTTTTATCACCATATACAGTCTGTTATAAGGGCCGTTGTTCATGTACCGCAGAGTAATCGTGTGTCCTTGTGTTTTCCCAGGTGGCGTGTATGCAGTTCATAAACATCGTAGTGCACTCAGTGGAGGACATGAACTTCAGAGTCCATCTCCAGTACGACTTCACCAAGCTGCTCCTGGACGACTACTTAGACGTGAGTTCAGATCAATACTGAATGATCTTTAATATTACAGTTGGCGCTCCGTGTGTGTAATGAGCGTGTGTTGTGGCCGCTACAGAAACTGAAGCACACGGAGAGCGATAAGCTACAAGTGCAGATCCAGGCGTACTTGGACAATGTGTTTGATGTGGGAGCTCTTCTGGAAGACGCTGAGACCAAAAACGCCGCCCTGGAGCGAGTGGAGGAGCTGGAGGAGAATATGTCTCATGTGCGTTATGGTTTTCATTTGTTTATGTCATAAGAAATAAGAAATAAGAAAGTTACTCATGGATTTGAGGTAGTTACTGACAGTGGTGGAACATAACGAAGTAAAAGTATCAAAGTACTTTACTGATCTACATTTTAAAGAGGGTACTTTTTACTTTTACTTTACTACTTTTGAGAGCAGGTATCTGTACTACATTTTTGAGCAGAACTGAAAAGTAAAAGTATTTTTTATTATAGTTTGAGACCTGCTGAAAAGGCTGAGGGTTTATTTTTAACACGTTCATAGTTTGAGCAATCTTAAATATACACATAAAAACAGCTAGAAATAAATAAAATCAGTTCAGTTTTTTCTGTGGAACAAAATTCAGCTCAAATCTGTATTAACGTCATTACATTTTGAAGCTTTATTAGATCTCAAAATCTATGCGAAATACTTTTACTTTTTACTCTTAAATGGAAACTTTAATGCTTTTACTTAAGTAGATTTTTCACTTTTACAACTATTTCTATTACCCCCAAAAATCAACTAAATTAAGTGACTAGGAAATTTTTTTATTTGTTACTTTCCACCTCTGGTTACTAGTTTGATCTGTTATGTGCTACAACATATTAGCTGAACAAAGAAATTAGTACCTCTACAAAAAAAATATCAAATAATACATTCTCAAATAGATTTAGGTTAGGAAATTTAGGTTAGGGACATTGGTATTTGTAAAGTTATTCATAAAACTACTACTTAAAGGTGCACTGTGTAACATTTCTAGTGGAATATGCCACATACTTGTCTTCATAGAAATGTTACTGCTTTGTCTGGGTTACAGCACTGCTTTATAGTACAGATCTGTGGAGAATCGCTCCTATTCACAGAAGAAATTATTGTCTTTTGGAGCAATAGAAACACCCGTAATGAAGACAATTAGGTAGCAGAGCCTCCACCAGAAAAGTTGCACTGTCTAACTTTAAACTTTTTACTCTTGCAGATGACAGAAAAACTGCAGGACACAGAGAACGAAGCCATGGCCAAAATTGTGGAGTTGGAGAAACAGCTGATGCAAAGGAACAAGGATCTAGAATCGATAAGGGTCTGTATTTTTGATGTTACATATTTATTTTTTTATGAATGTACACAATATCTAAATGATATCTGCATACAGGAACACTACAAAGAAACCACATCCCAGGTCCTAGCGCTGAGGCAGATGTTGAAGGAGAAAGACGAGGCCATCCAGAGAAGCTCGAAGCTGGAGAAGAAGATTCATGAATTAGAAAAGCAGGGCACCATCAAGATCCAGAAGAAAGGAGATGGTGACATATCCATCCTGACTTCACCCACGGGAGGAGGAGGAGGAGGAGGAGGGGTGCCCGGGGCAGTCTTGGGTCCAAACACTGCTGCACTCAGCCCCAACCACGTGGAGGTCACAGGGGGCATGGCTGCTCCTCCTCCACCCCCGCCTCCACCTCCAGTCAACGGCACATGTAAGTCTGAATTGTGTTTGAAATGGAAGATGGAGAATGGCAAGTAAAAAGTCAAATTCAGCTCAGACTGTCAAGTAGTGCCACAGGCTGTTGTCAAACAAAAGGAACTTGCCTTTAAAGTATTGTTGATAGGTAATAATGGAGGATCCACCACCTGCTTGTCTCCATGGAGATGTTATTGCTTTGTCTAGAATGTTCCACAGTATAGATTAAACTTATCTGTCACAAGGTTACAGCACTACACTACGTTACAATTCAGATCTGTGGAGAGTCGCCCCATATTCACAGGAGGAATTATTGCATTTTTGAGCAAGAGAAACACCCATAATAAATATCTCATGGGCCACAAAGGGTTCTAAAATTTGATGGAAGGGCCAGACCAGGAGCAGATGGATGGAGTTTTTTGGTAATCCACCTCATAAAAGAAGAAAATAACACGGGATATGTAGAAAATATATCCTATGTTATTGAAATATCCCATAATTGAAAATCATTACAAATCATTACAACAAAATATCTGTCTTTCAAGTCCCACTGTATTCACTATTTATTGAAATGACTTTTAAAACACTGAAAATGACTATAATCCTTATTACTGAAGTTTGGCGGGCCAGATTAAAATGATAGAAGGGCTGCATGTGGTCCCCGGGCCGTAGTTTGCCCACCCCTGTGCTGTTATTGTCATACTGTGGAACATTCAAGGGAAAGCAACAACATCTCCACAGAGACAAGCAGGTAGCGGACCCTCCACCTGAAAAGTCACACAGTGCTCCAAAAGGAGCTATTTGAGCACTTGATCCACTAGATCAGTGTTTCACAAACTTTTTTGGGAGGACCCATATTTCAAAAGTCCCAAACCTTCTTGACCCAAGTCAATAGACATTATTTATTCATAAATCACAAAATAAAGATAGATTTGACCATTATTGAACATTAATGAGTGATTGTGTCTCTCTGAACAATTAGTATTATTCAAGTTTTAAACAATGAAAAACAGAAAGTGAACCAGCAATAAAAGGATCCATAAGTCGCCTATTTGGACATTAAATGTAGCCCATTTCTTTTTCTTTTCAGCATTCAATGAAACCAGCTATACTGGAACAAAATAGTCAATTAAATAATTACAAAAAGATTAGAAATTATACAAAACATGTCAACATTTTAACTTTTCCAATGAGATAAGTGGGCCTGTCTGCGTTTTTGTAGCGCGTTCCTGTCCGGGCTGCAGGAGGAGAGTGCAACACGCAGATCAGGCGACCCAAAAAAAGCCTCTTGTGACCCATCGTCTTTGGGAAACGATGCACTAAATCAGCTTGTTTTCATGGTTACCTGAGAAGTTCTTTAGTTCTAAATATCTATATTGCAAAAATTCAATGACAGGTGCTTTCAAAATAAAAAACTAAGAAAAACTAAACAGAACAAAAAAGCACTTTTTTAAACATTTTTACTGTGAGCTAATCCATTGTAAATTGGCCTAGTTAGTTTTCCTTAATGTAGATAGATCAGTTTAATGCCATGCTGTGGAACTTTCCAAGCTAAGCAGTAGCATCTGCATGGAGACAAGCATGCGGCAGATCTTCCACAAGAAATTTTACACATTACACCTTAAACTTTATATATTTCACTGGGCAAAAACAGGCAAATAAAAGTGTATGAAATGATATTGTATTACTGATATTTCAAAACTGACCCTGCCCTGTTTTTCTCTCTCAGTACCAAACGGACCACTGTCAGTCACCCCCGCAGCAGCTCCTCCACCCCCGCCTCCTCCTCCTCCACCGCCCCCACCTCCAGGACCAGAGATGTCCGCTCCACTGCCCCCACCGCCGCCGCCTGTAGCGCCCCCTCTGCCTGGGTCTGGTACACCCACAGTCATCATGAACTCTGGCCTCGCAGGTAAGAAAAGAAGGAAAGGTTAATGCTGTTGATACTTTGCAACGTTCTCTGGGGGTGTGATGTTAACTGGAGGCACTGCCCTGTCTGAAGCTGAGTCAGACTTTAATCTTAGCTTTATTTTAACACAATCAGTGATGTCACTGCAAAGTATCTGTAGAAAGCTATTTATGGATTTCAGCTTTCAGCTATAGGGAACATTTTGAGGACTTGTCACAATTCCAAAGATACATTATATATTTTAATTGAAATTGACAATTGCTATGGCAACACTATATTTAATTTAATTATTTAATATAAGCCCATGCATTCTAGTAACTTTTTATTAACCGTATTTTTTGGACTATAAGTCACTCTGGAGTATAAATCACACCAGCCAAAAAATGAGTAATGAAGAAGAAGCTGATTGGATGGAAGTCATACCGGACTATAAGTCGCACTTTTTGTGGGAAATTTATTTTATAAAATGAGAGATGAGGAACCAGGAATTTCATCTTGAAAGGCAAGTTATATTAATAACAATAGAACAAAGAACAACAGACTGTTAACATAACATATTACCAGACTCTCCATCTCACTCCAAATTACTAAATCCACTGAATTCTTCATCCTCAGTGTCACTTCCGTGGCAACTCCATGACCTCCAGAGATAAACGGAGTGCTGCTTCCTCTTCTCTATAGCTGTCATCAGACCCAGCATCAGTTCCAGTTAGAATTATTCCAGCTTTTCTGAATCCCGACAGGATGGTTTCAGTTGTCACTGAAGTGCAGGCTTTGTCCCTCACAAGTTTCTTCGCTCACTCCAAACTTTCTTTCTGCCATTTTCGGCTGAATATTTCACTACTTGTAGCAGAACAGTGTCTCTTTCTGCAGGAGACATGCTCAGTAGAGTGACAGAGGTACAGGAGTAACAGGAGCAGCAGATACTGACACACAAGCCTTGAGCGCCCTCTTGAGACTGTCAGTGTGAAGATTTTCATATACAAGTCGCACCGCAGTATAAGTCGTAGGACTACCCAAACCATGAAAAAAAGTGTGACTTATAGTCCAAAAAATATGGTAATTTAAATTGCAACACTCTTAATATTTCATCATTCTGAAACTCATGCACAGCAAGGCTTGATATGAGACTAGCAACTTTTTATTTAGTTGGTTATTACCTGTGCTCTATTTTGAGGATTTAACTTAACTTTAACTCAAATATATTTTTTCTACTGGTGTCCTTTGATGTATGCTTTTCTGTTGACAAAGTTGTTAAGTGTTTCAAAGCCTTTTCAGTGTCAGCTTGTATCTGGGTTCCTGTCAGAGCACGCTGGTCCCATAGGAATTCAGATAACAGTCAAAGGCAACACTTATCTCCTCTGTAAACATGTGTTAGCGACACATAGCATGCACATATATTTAGCCAGGACCGGCTATACTCTGTCACTAACTCTGATTCTCAATGATCTTTCTCTTGCCGACCAGAGGGACCCATCAAACTCTTCTGTAGGTTCTGCCTGTCAACTTTTCTGTTTCACGTTTTTTCTACGTTTGTTTTGAAGTGTCATTCATCGGCTTTTAATTCATTTTATGGGTTTTCTCATTTGGTTTGGCTAATTGTTTTTTATTTATTGTTTATTTAAAATTAAAGACATACAAACACTGACAAATATGAAAGCAAATAATGAACTTGAAGATAGAATATTGAAAGTATTGTCTATATGGAAACTTAAAAAAAAAAAACTGTTGCTAGCGCCACCAAAAGAAAAGAAACTTCAAGTCAAGGGAAGTATTATTTGAGTTTTCAGCTTTATTTCACTATCATTTTCTTTTTGTACGATGCATGAACTTCTACAACGATATTTAAAAACATACAATATAAAATTACAATGACATATTAATCCGTGTATCATATGTTCGAAATAAAACCAAAAATAAGAAAACAAAAAAACAACTATTTTCTTCATTATTTGTCTCCAAATCCAAAATGAAAAAAACAGATAACGATTGGTTTTTCAGTTTTCGATTTTTGTGTTTAAATGAATAATGGAAAAAACGGATAACGGCCGTTTCCCGTTTCTGTGACTTAAACTGCGATTCTGGACTGAACCAGGACTAAAACAGGACTAAACCAGGTCTAAACCAAGACTAAACCAGAACTAAATGAGTCACAGTCCTGGTCTGGTCCCGGTCTCAGTCCCGGTCTCAGTCCCAGTCTCAGTCCCGGTCCTGGTCCTAGTCCTGGTCTCAGTTCCGGTCTGGTCCCGATCTCAGTCATGGTCTCAGTCCTGTTCACCCAACAGTCTAAGCAGGTGCACCTCGGGGCTCGTCCCAACACTCAGTACTGGTTTAGTCCAGGTTCAGTCCTGGTTTAGTCCTGGTTCAGTCCTAGTTTAGTCCTGGTTCAGTTCTAGTTTAGTCCTGGTTCAGTCCTGAGATCAGTCCTGGGATCAGTCCTGCTTTAGTCCTAGTTCAATCCTGCCTCAGTCCGGCATTTTATTTAAACACAAAATTGAAAATTACGAATGAAATGAATCATTATCCATGTTTTCATTTTAGTTGTGGAGACAAATAATGCAGATAGTTTATAATAGTTTATAATAAATAATAGTTTTTTTTTGTTTTTTGTTTTATTTTTTGTTTTATTTTGAAAAACGAATGAACAAATGATACACGGATTCATATTTTTACATATATTATCATTTACCATTATAGTTGTACTTTTTTTAATGTCAATGCAAATGAGAAAAACGTCTCATTTCATCACGCTGCATGGTTCACGTGGACACCCTGCTGTGGTCTTGTTTGTTTGTAGTGAAGTGTCAGCTCCGTAGACTGTACAGGACACATGCATGAGCTGATCAGTTCATGCAGACTCCACAGTGACGGACAAAGCTCAGAGCTGGAGCCTGTTTACCTTTCCCATGACGGCCTTATCTCGCTGAATCTCCTGTTACTCCTCAAGCGCCTGACGTAGCACCGCCCTCTGTGAACCAAGTGTCCACAAGTGACTCTGAGCTCTGTCACCGTGCCAACAAGGAAATCCTCACCTCGTGTGCCGCGTACACTCTCCAGACTACTGAGGCGAGGAAGGTCAAAATATAGAGTTAAAATAATTTTTAGTGACAAAGCAAAACAAAAAAAAGTGATTTAATGACTGTCTGTGATTATTGACAGTTTAACAACAACAACAGTAAAAACCTTGAATCTTTTATTGTCTTATATGTAAAAAAAGGATTAAAGAGAAGCAAAGAAAAGATAAAAAGTATAAGAAAGGAACTATAATCACAGGTAAACATGGGTTGCCACTCCCTGGACCTGCATTTACAGGACACGTACAGGTTTTTCTCACCCTGTGTTCGATTATCCTTCCGAATTGATTTTCCTCCCCTTTTTCTGGGACTTGGACCTCGGTGGTAGAAAAAGCAGACAGAGCAAGGATTCAGAGTCAGAAACCAAGATGGCTATTCCCACTTTGACATGTAAATATGAGCTGTTTTCATTGTGGTTGGACAGTTTTCTGGTTTAAATGACAATTTCAATCACTCGTATCACTGCAATACCCAAAACATGCTACACAGGTCTCCAGGAAGAACAGTTGATAGCTAAGGTCAATTAAATCAAATCAATCATTCAATCTGCCCAGGGACTAAAGGTGGAAATTAGAACTGGTGCTACAACCTGGTACAATGCATCTCTCCTGTTAAGGTGAATGTAAATTGTGCGCTGTCCCTGTCTCATTAAATAAATAAATAAAATAATCCTCACCATGTCCGTATCACTGCCTGTGGGTTTGGTAGTCAGTGTTGTGGTGAGGCCAATACTGAAGAAATACTTGATTTAATGGGCGTCAGTGTCCCTAAGGTTGTAACGGAAGAGAAATCATAACATAAAATGACGTGCAAATTACAAAAATTAAATTAAAGTGGCAGTGTTTTCATAAAATGAGGGAATAGTTATAATCATAATCCACGTAGTCCGACACGTGAAACATAATAATACGCTTCAAGGTCGGACGTGACATCAAATCCGTGGTCCAAGTGGGAGTTGGAGGATAATCAAACACAGGGTCATTCTCAGTATATAAACAGCCTACGTACTCGCTCTGATTCATGATTGGCTGCTGGTGCCGGGGTTTAGGTAGTGACCATTCAGATCAGAGTGAGACCTTTTAGGTTTAAACAAATTGGACTGCAGCTTTGAAACTGGCAACCCAAATGAGAGAGTCACATGAGGCTCATTCTGCTTTCTGATTGGATAATCGTCTTGAGAACCAAAACACCAACTAATAACAACATATTTTTTCAATTAAGAATAAATCAGCTTTACAGTTGTTAGCAGTAAAAGCTACAATTGATTTGAACATGTTTACCTTGTATCTGCGGATTCATAAAGATCACTTTATGGAATTAATTATCAAAATCGTTCCTTTAAGTGACCAATCAAACTTTCTGAATGATAAAGTTAAATTAACAGCCAGGTAAAAATAGCACTGTACCTTTAATTGTACTTGAACTATAAATGAAATGTAAAGGACTTAATATTTGCTTCTAAAATGGTCAAGATTACATTTTTTAAAAATTATATAAATACATTCTGACCTGAGCTATCACGACTAATGATTAAAGGGTGCACTATGTAACTTCTAAGGTTGGAGGATCCGCTTCTTGCTTGTCCCCATGGAGATGTTAACTCTTTGCCTGGAATGTGCCACAGTAGAGCATTAAACCCTTGCATTTATTCAATTACAAGTGCTCAAATACCTTAAAAAACAACATTAATTCTTATCACGTGCAGGCATGATTTTCCATAGATCTGACCATTATCCTGTCTCCGTTGTGATTACCAAGTGTATTTCCAAAACAAAACAGTATAATATCTCCATGGACATAAGCAGGTGGCAGATCCTCCACCAGAAAAGTGACACAGCGCACCTTTAACTTCAAATCTTTGACATCCCTCGTCCAGGCAAAAGCAAACCGACTTCACTCTCTCTGCTTTTTGTCCAGTGTTATGTCCACTCCAGAGACATGTCCATAAAGAGTCATACATACCCCACATTCCTCTGTTCTCTGTACATCTGTGGAAGTAGCGTGTCCAAATACAGTGTGCAGCAGCAGATAGCCACGGTCACGCTAACGGTAATGTGTGTGCTTCCTGTTCAGCTGTGAAGATCAAGAAGCCCATCAAGACCAAGTTCAGGATGCCCGTCTTCAACTGGGTGGCACTGAAACCCAACCAGATCAACGGCACGGTCTTCAACGAGATCGATGATGAGAGGATACTGGAGGTACGGGACAAAAAAACACTGTAATTTTGGTTATAACTGAAAAAATGAAGATTATTTAAAACACTTATTGGTAATGCTTTATAATACGCAAGTACACTTTGCCTTAATAAAACATGAACACAGATTTAAGTGATGAAATATAGTTTAGTAAAGATGAGGTATTGTGCAAAATTGACTTTCTGGAGCTGTCTACCATGTTATAACATTGTTCCCTCGTCAAAAACATGCCTCAAGTGGTTTTATGTGTCATCAGTGCATGTTTGACTAATCCAGATGACTATTTGAACTCTCTTTGTGGCAACTAGTACAAGTCACGCCTCTTGTACAAGCTCACAAGCAACCACAACGTCACAAACTTGATGTCACTGAATCATTTTTAATGGTCCTATATTATGCTAGAATAGAAAGTCTTTTTTGTCATTGTACACAGTATAATAAGATGCAGAGCTGCTCCTTCATAATGCACACAGCGTAGTATAATAAAATATAATAATATCATAAAACTAAAAACTACTATCAACTACCAACGACTACACATACCATAAAACTTGTGCAAAACCCACCAAGGGTAAACAGACAGACAGAGAGACAGAGAGACAGACACATACCAGTAAAACAGACTTTAGACTAAAGTGACTAAAGTGGCATTAAAAATAAAGCATTAAAATTGTGTAGGTAACAGTACAGATTAACAGTTCTCAGTGCAAACCTGAGTTTAGTATAGTGACAGCTTTGGGAAAGAAGTTGTCCCTAAGTCTATTTGTTTTGGCTGGTATGGACCTGGAGAACCTGCCAGAAAGCAACAGGTCCAAGAGGTGGAAGCTGGGGTGTGTATTGTCCTTTATGATGTTCCTCGCTCTGCTGAGACAGTGGGAGTTGTAGATGCTGGATAAGGAAGGCAGAGGGCAGTCAGTGATTTTCTGTGCAGTGTTGGTTACCCTCTGCAGACGCTTCCTGTTGACCTAGAGTGCCACACTGACACAGCAGAGGTCAGCAGGCTCTCAATGGTGGAACAGCAGAAGGTCACCGGCAGGCTTGTGTTTGCTAAGCTGACTCCTGTGAGCTTTTAGCCCTGTTATAATGTTGTTGCCGCCTCAAAAAACATACATTAAGTTGTGTTTTGTTTCATTTACACTTTTGAGGACCATTTATTATTAGTCTGTCTACATCTCCAAAGCTCAGACTGCTCTGTTCCACCTTGTGATGTTACGAAGCTGTAGTTTGAAGTTAGCAGCTACTTTTTACCGTTGAAATCATCCAAATGATTCTAGTGCAGGTGTATGGAGTTTAAAAACACAGTGGAGCGCTTCCGGTATCACCACATGACACAGAGCGACGAACTCAGCCTAAATATGCAGGATTTGAGTGTTGTGAGCTGTAACATAGGTCATAAAATAGCATAACATGAGCCAGTTTGTTCATCATGAGTCTTTGTTCATGCTTTATTAAGACTAAATAAGTAGTAGTGTAGTTTTTATATGGTGGTAATATATGCACTGTTCAACCTTTACCTGTCGTGGCAGGATACAGACGTAATTCAATTGCTCTGCTTTGTGATTCATTTTAAAAGCCCCAGTATTAGATTAGACAAGTGGCTCCGCTCCAAGTTTTGAGAGAGGAGAGCTCCCATATCACTTACAACAAAATGCAATGATTGTTTTTTCTGATTACGCATTTTAGTAATTGATTGGAGCCATACTTGTAATCACTTCTCAAATCTGATTAGTTGCACCGCTCTATAATTAAAAACAAAAATGTACCAAGTCTATAGAAGAGGAACATTGATTTTCATTTACACCGTTTTAGGATCTGAACGTGGATGAGTTTGAGGAGATGTTCAAGACCAAAGCCCAGGGCCCGTCCATCGATCTGAGCATGAGCAAACATAAGGTGATCCAGAAGGGACCAAACAAGGTGACTCTGCTCGACTCCAATCGCGCCAAGAACCTGGCCATTACCCTGAGGAAGGTGGGCAAGGCGCCAGAGGAGATCTGCAGAGCCATACAACTGTGAGTCACTCAGAATATTAAACTCTGTGATGATGGGGAATCATAGTATAAGGGGACTGTCACGGTGGCTGTCTGGCAGAGCACAGACAAGACAAAAATACAGATAATTTCAGTGGTGTAGTGGGGATTTTTTAAGTGGGAGTATGCGATTCTTGATGTCATCGATGTTATTGACATTAACACTGTTCATGATCACCTACAGAACATAAATCACAGGCTACAACACGTGTTTCCAGGACTAAAACTGGACTAAACCAGAACTAAACCAGGACTGAACCACCACTAAAACAGGACTAAAACAGGACTAAACCACAAGTAAACTAGTTCTAAACCAGGACTAAACTAGTTCTAAACCAGGACTAAACTAGCCCTAAACTAGGACTAAGATAGCTCTAAACCAGGATTAAAACAGGACTAAACTAGCCCTAAACCAGGACTAATCTAACTCTAAACCAGGATTAAACCAGGACTAAACTAGGACTAAACTAGCCCTAAACCAGGACTAAACTAGCTCTAAACCAGGATTAAACCAGGACTAAACTAGAACTAAACTAGCTCTAAACCAGGATTAAACCGGACTAAAACAGGACTAAACCAGGACTAAACTAGTTCTAAACCAGGACTGATCCAGGAGGACTAAACCAGGACTGAACCAGCACTAAAACAGGACAAAACTAGCTCTAATCCAGGACTAAACCAGGATTAAACTAGCCCTAAACCAGGACTAAACTAGCTCTAAACCAGGATTAAACAGGACTAAACTAGCTCTAAATCAGGACTGAACCAGGTCTAAACAACGTCTAAACCAGGACTAATCTTGGACTTGAGATTGAAAGAGAGAACCCCGAACCCATGAAGGAAGGTGTCCACAAAGCGTGATCGGACGACGGCTGCTCTTTGGCCCGTGGGGTGCGGAGCTCTGCACTGTTCTGGTTTAGTCCTGGTTTAGATCTACTTTAGTCCTGGTTCAGTCCTGGTCGCTCATGTCTCAGGTCACTATAGGGCAGTACTGCAGATATCATGAGCCTATACATGTTGTTTTCACCGTTGCCAATAGCTCCAGTTTGACATTTAAGTTGTAGCTATTTTATACTTGTTATTTTTTTCTATCTCACTCCGGGAGAAGTGGGTGGTTGACGTACCCTCACGTAGCACGCCCACTACACCCCTGACTAATTTATAATTTAAACAGAAAATTATACGATCTACAGATGAAATGAAATTATGTACCATAGTGCGCATGGTTTGAATTTCAATTTGAATGGTCGCGATTGGCACATCACAACATAATTTCCAATGCAAAATATTTTGTGTTGTATGAAAAGCTTCTAACCCTCAATAGTTTAGACCTCGACAAACATGTTCAGAAATACATTTGATTTTTGGATTAGTTTAGTTTCAAACTTATTTTCTATATACTATAATACTTACTCAGTACAATACTCAGTGTCATTTATTATTACAATATAAATGTAGCTGTAATAATTACAATTCGATATTTTCCAAAAACTCTAACATACAGTATAGCCATTAAACGTATCCATCAGGGCTAAGTATCATTAAGAAGTTGCTGATTATTATTTAGTATCATCATTATCATTATTGCTATTATTATGTTATTTATTGTATTATTATTATTATTTATATAAATTTTATGTGTGAAAAAAAAAACTGTGACTGTGACTTATGTGGACAACAAAAAGCACTGAATGAATTGCAAAAAAAAAAAAAAAGAAGAAGAAGAAGTTGTCGATACGATAAATACCTCGATACATAGGCCATGATACATATCTCGATACAGTGCACTTACAGTTTGATACCATTTATTTCAAATCAATTCAATATGGTTTAGTAAAAAATAAAAGCTAAATCATGGCTGTGATACTAAAAGTCTTTGTCAAACCACTTCTTGTGCAAAGTGAACATGAAACACAAAACATTTTAATCTTCAAAACAGTGAAAATGTCAAGTAAATGAGAGAAAATACTCGATATAGAGATACAGCAGCTCACGACATCGATACTGTATCATCATATTAACCATACGATATATTGATATTCCTATATTTTTGCACACCTCTTGCATTCATTCAGTTAAAGTTTTTTTATTGCTCAAAAAAACCTTGAAATACATGTAATCTTACTGTGAGTGGGATCGCCTCTATAGATCTGGCCTGTAACGTTGCTTAGTCACATGCTTGTTTTTATGGAAATGGAAAGTCTAATACCATTTTGTGGCACATTCCAGACAAAGCAATGACATCTCCATAGAGACAGGTTACACAGTGCACCTATAAGCTTGACAACTACATTCACAATATTAAAGAAAAGCTAAATCAACCCTACTTGACCATCACAGACAGACCATCATAGAACAGACCAGACAAAGGATTATAATGGCTGAGTGAAAGTCAAAAGACCACTTCCTGCCTTTTCTTTCTTTGACAATAGGATTATTCTGCTCTGTTCTCCCACTTAATACTGCCCCGTACCTCCAGGTTTGACCTTCGAACCCTGCCTGTGGACTATGTGGAGTGCCTGATGCGCTTCCAGCCCACGGAGAACGAGGTGAAGGTCCTGAGGCAGTTTGAGAAGGAGAAGAAACCTGTGGAGAGCCTGACGGACGAGGACAGATTCATGATGCAGTTCAGTAAAATCGAGAGGCTCATGCAGAAAATGACCATCATGGCCTTCGTTGGGAACTTCTGTGAGAGCGTGCAGATGTTAACGCCGGTAAGAACACGAGTAAAGTCATCAGAATCAAGTAGAAATGTTAATAGCTGCTATTTTATGGCAGTAGCAGTATGAATTATAAGCAAGGGATATTGTGTAGGTAATATTTAGTAGTAATGTTGTAGTAGTAGTAGTAGTAGTAGTAGTAGTAGTAGTAGTAGTAGTAGTAGTAGTAGTAGTAGTAGTAGTAGTAGGTAGAAGGTAGTAGTAGTAGTAGGTAGAAAGTAGCAGTAGTAGTTTTAGTAGTAGTAGTAGAAGGTAGTCGTAGTAGTAGGTAGTAGTTTTAGTAGTAGGTGGTAGTAGTAGAAGTAGTAGTAGGTAGTAGCAGTAGTAATAGGTAGTAGTAGTAGTAGTAGTAGTAGTAGTAGTAGTAGTAGTAGTAGTAGTAGTAGTAGTAGTAGTAGTAGTAGTAGTAGTAGTAGTAGTAGTAGTAGTACAGTACTAGTAGTATCAGCAGCAGTTCTAGTACTAGCAGCAGCAGTAGTAGTAGTAGCACTACTAGTAGTAGTAGCATTACTAGTAGTAGTAATAGTAGTAGCACTAGTAGTAGTAGTAGCACTAGTAGTGATGATAGTAGTAGGTAGTAGTTATAGTAGTAGGGACTATCCAAAATTAATACATTAATAAAACCTAATATAAATACTAACAAACAAAGTCATAGTAAAAATAATAATAGTAAGAAGTAGTAGAAGTAATAAGCCTATTTTCAGTAGTAGTGTGAGTAGTTGTAGTGGTAGTAGTAGTACTAGTGTCATTGTCAGTAGTACTAGTAGTTATAAAAGTAGACCAAAGAGGCCAGAGATTTAGAAAGCAGTGAGAGCAATACCTCATAGTAGTAGCTGTGGTATTATAGTTACTGCAGAAGTTGTAGTAATAGTAAACTAGTATAAGTACTATATGTAGCAGTATACAGTATAATAACAAAACATATTTTCTATTTTCTCTGTAGCAACTCCATGCTGTTATTGCTGCATCTGTTTCCATTAAGTCATCACAGAAACTCAAGAAAATTTTAGAGGTAAACAAAAGCGTGACATTTTCCTCACAATGATTAGAAGTAGTAAATTAATACATCATATATTCTTGTTTTTAGATTATCCTGGCACTCGGAAACTACATGAACAGCAGCAAAAGAGGAGCTGTTTACGGATTCAAGCTTCAGAGTTTAGACTTGGTACGTTTCACACTATTACCGCGCCATTATCCATGATTTTGCCTCCTGTAAACCCTGTCTACATTTATTTTACGCTCTCCCAGCTCCTCGAAACCAAGTCGACGGACCGTAAAATGACACTCCTACACTACATCGCCAACGTGGTCAAAGAAAAGTACCAGCAGGTCTCCCTCTTCTACAACGAAATGCACTATGTCGAGAAGGCAGCAGCAGGTGAGAGTCATCCGGCGCTACTTTGTGAAGTTTTTGTGATGTTTTTGTGAAGTTTCTGCGGCTAATTCCTGGTCATATTTTGTCTGTAGTATCATTAGAAAATGTACTATTGGACGTGAAGGAGCTACAGAGAGGGATGGAGCTGACCAAGAGGGAGTACAGCATGCACGGACACAACACGATGCTCAAAGACTTCATCACACACAATGACGCTAAGCTAAAGAAGCTACAAGACGATGCTAAGATTGCACAGGTAACGTGAGCATGCGTGTTTTATAGGGATGTAACAATAACCGAAATATCGTGATATCGTATCGTCAAAGTTCTCACAATAATATCGTGGACCATCACAATATATCGAATTACAAGTCTCTTTGCTTAAATTAAGAGTTATGGTGCAGCAATAGCTAAAAAAAAAAGACAGAGAGAACTACATAGACCATGATCCTTTGCTCCATTTCAGTGCAAACTATAAGAAGAAATAACAGTTCTAAGCACTTTTAAGTCTTAGTTCTTTGGATTAAAGTCTTGTCAAGGCATTTTAAGAGAAAAAAGTAGCACATTAACAGTTTTGTGAGCTTCCACAAAATATTTCAATAAATATCATAGCGTGAGATGTATATTGTGAAAATATCATACAGAGAGATTTGGAAATTGTTACATCCCTAATCGTGAGCCTCCCCACCAAATTGTGAGCTTTCCCATGATATCACAATAAATATCGTACTGTGACGTTCATACTGTGACAATATCGTATTGAGAGACTTGGATATCGTTACACTCCTAGTGCTTTATGTGACTATTATTACTGATTTTGGTAGCACATTATAAAATCTTCACTATAACTACTTAATTAATACTCTAGTTACTATAGTAACTACATAAGCAAGTTTGTTATAAATTAGGTTTTTGTTCATGCTTTATTAATACGGATGTAACAATAACCAAAATATTGTGATATTGTATTGTCAAACTTCTCACAGTAATATCGTGGGATGTCACAATATGCCGAACTACCTTTGTTTAAATACATGGTTTTATAGTAGTTATAACTTATAAACATGGGAAACTACATATCCCATGATTCATTTCAGTGCAGACAACATGAAGAAATATGTTTTTTACTTGAATTCTTGGGATTATGACAGAAATAAGTCAAACTAAAATCTTGTCAATATTTATATTTTAAAAGCAAAAAAGTTTCCTATCTACAATCATATAATCCAAAATATCACAGTAAATATTGTACCATGCGATACATATCGTGATAATATCGTACTGAGAGATTTGAATATTGTTACATCCATATTTATAAAGTCTAATAAAATTAAACAAAATTGACTCTTCTGAGCTTAGGCCATGTTATAATGTTGTTACCTCATCAAAAACAGACCTGGAGTTGTGTTTTGTTTCATTCCCCCATGTTTGAGTAATTCTTTATTATTAGTCTGTCTACATCTCCAAAGCTCAAAATGCTCCCATCCTTGTGATGTAGATGTTAATTAACAGCTACTTTTTACGTTTAGTTCAGTAGAGATTGGCTATTCCATGGAAGATATATGGACTTTAAAAACACAGTGGAGCACTTCCTGTATTACCACATGACATCATAAAGTGGAACAAATTGTTTTCAGTTAGAGTGAAGAACTTAAACACATGTGAATGAAACAAAACACAATTCCAGTAACATATGGGCCCTTTAAGATGTAGTTATAATAAAGTGGTACCTGTTTTTTGTTGTGAAAATGTCTGACTTTGTTGCAGTATTACTCATAATGTGCTGTGTGTTTATGCTTGAACAGGACGCATTTGATGAAGTGGTGAAATTCTTCGGGGAAAATGCCAAAACAACACCTCCATCAGTTTTCTTCCCGGTGTTTGTGAGATTTGTGAAGGCTTATAGGGTAAGATTGCTACAAATATTTTCAGTATTCATTATTCAGAGGACTATTCAGAGTATAATGGACTATGAAGCTAAAATAATATTGTACCTGGATAGACAAAACATTACTCTGATTCTGGTATTCCACTGAAATAAAAGATAAAGTGAATAAAAATCATATCTGATCATACCTAGCATCAACATTTTACCATACACTTACTATACTATTGCAGGAGTATTCAGAGGAGTACTCAGAGTAATAATAATGAACTACAACGCTCTAATAATATTGTAATTGGACAAACTAAACATAAAACGATTATAAGATTATGGTAATCATAAAAAATAGATGAGATAAAAAGATAAAAAATACAAAAAACGAGTAATATCTGAATTTAACGTTTAAACTGAACATTACTCAAGCAGAATTAAAGTATGTTGTCAGAAAACTACTGCTGCTAAAAGAGTAAAGTACTACCCAACTCTGTTATTGGTAGTTTGTTGTAGTTAAAGTAGTTAACTACACATTTTCTATGATTAACTTCAACTTTGGGAAATTATACAATGCAAAACTTAACCACAACTTCAGCTTTTGCTCGACGATGCAGAAACGCATTCCCTTTTAAAAATAGGCAAAAACAAACAAACAAATAAACAAACAAACAAACAAAAACGAAACAAACAAACAAAAATGATCCAAGCTATCCAATTTTCCTTTGGGACAATACTAAAGTTGAAAGTTGATTAAGGTAGTAATTGCAAGATAAGTTGAAGTGAGGCTGCTGAAGTACTTTGTTACAATAATGTTATTTTTCATCATAATTAGGGTACGACACGATACATACCTCGATACATAGGCCATGATACGATACATATCTTGATACAGAGAGCTTTTGATTCAATACGATATATTTCAAATCAATTCGATACGGTTCAATAATGTGATACTGAAAGTCTTTGTTAAACCAATTCTTGTGCAAAGTTCATATAAAACATAAATATTTTAATTATCAAAACAATGAACATGTCAAATGTGTTGCATAAATGAGTTTCTTTCCTCTAAATGAGCAATAAAACTGTAGCTCTGCAACAAAATAATTTAGTAAAATAAACCGAAAAATACTCTTGGCGATATATCGATACAGCAGCCCACGATATTGATACTGTATCATCACATTAAATGATACGATATATCGATATTTTGATATTTTTGCACACCCCTAATGTGTACTATTAATTTCATGAACATAAATTTTTTACATTTTCAGAAATATGGCAATTAATTCTCGAAACCACAGAGCACTGGCTGTGGACTTCACAATTAAAAAACACAAAAACCATTAAACTTACTGTATATCTCCATGGAGACCAAACGGGGGACATCATCAGGCCAAATTACAGGTCAGATCTGTGGAGAGGCAGCCTAGTAAGCAGCAAGAATCAATGTTTTTGTGTTGTTGTTTTTTTTTAAGGCAGTAAAAAACTATAATTGAATACATGAAAGATAGACATGTTTAATACCACACTGTGGAAAGTTGCAGGTAAAACAATATCATCTCCATGGAGACAAGCAGGTGGTGGACCCTCGACCTGAAAAGTTACGAAGTGGACCTTTAAGTTTTCCTTTTGTAATGTCATAGAAGAGCCAAGCAAACCCTGTAAAATATACCAAAAAATACTATCGGCGATATATCGATACAGCAACTCATGATATCGATACTGTATCATCACATTAAATGAAACTATATATTGATATTTTGATATTCTTGCACACCCCTAATCATAATTTTGTGTTGTTTTTTTACTTTTGTGTGTTTTCAGCAAGCAGAGGAGGACAACGAGCATAAGAGGAGGCAGGAGCAGCTCTTGATGGAGAAACTTCTAGAACAGGAGCAGGCCATGTTGGAGGAGGACCAGAAGGTTTGAGACATTTTTACTATAATCACACACTCAGAACAGTGAGCCTCTGCCAACATTTTAAACTTAAAACAAACACCATTTGTCAAAAAGGATTACAAAAAGAAACAGCCACTTGAAAATTGCAGCCGTAGATCCTGTTTTACAGTTCAAGGTGATGAATGTTATCTTAGCATTTTTGTCTTTTGTGAGTTATGACTCCATTTAGTTTTTATTACCAGAGTGTGCGCTTGATATTAAACGTCTGGATGCTGCACAAGGCGTTATATGTCACTAAATAAAGCAATAAAATGGAGGCTGAGTTATAGAAAGGTTCATGCTGAGAAATGTTAACTGTCAATGTCTGTAACTACAGCACTTTATTACAATCCACACATCTCAGGTATGTGGATAGGACGTAGTACAGTATCGACTTGTGAGAACTTGTTTGCATTTTAAAGCCAGAATGCCCTAAAAGCTTATGGGCCAATATGCAAAAATTTGATTACTCAAAATTGATTCTTGTGAGCTTTAAGCCGTGTTATAATGCTATTGTCTTATCAAAAAACATACCCAGAGTTGTATTTTGTTTTATTTACACATTTATATGGGTAATCCTTTTTTATTAGTGCATCTCCAAAGCTCAAAATGCTCTGTCCCACTTCATGATGTCATGTCGTGGTAGTTCTTTAGTCAACAGTCACCTTTTAATTTTAGTTCAGTACATAATAGCAACTCCAGGATTGAAATCATCGAAATTATTCTAGTGAAAGTGTATGTGGCGCAACCTGTATTACCACTAGGGCTGAGTATCATTGAGAAGTTGTTGATACGATACATACCTCGAGTATACAGTGCACTTTCAATTTGATGTATGTGATGATGTATTTCAAAGATTCAATACAGTTTAATAAAAAATAAAGGCTAAATCGTGGCTTTTTGTGCAATGTTCATATGAAAGACACCTATTTTAATCATCAAAACAGTGAAAATGTCATATGTGTTGCATAAATGGGCTTCCTTCCTCTAAAGAAGCAACAAAACTGTAGCACTGTTACAAAATAATTTAGTCAAATGCATCAAAAAATACTCTTGGGGATATACACTACAACTACTACACTACTACTACTACTACTACTACTACTTTTAGAACACCCTAATTTTTCCAGTTATTTATTGTTATTCAAGTCGTGCAAGTCCAATGAAGAGCTTGAAATGGTACAAAGGTAAATACTGAACAGCCAGAGGTTAAAAAAAAATAGATAAAACATAACAAAACACAAGTCCAAGCTCTGCCAAAACTAACTCAGGAAAAAAGAACAAGATGCTGAGCTTAAAAACATGTGTCCAGACTTAACTCCATTGAGCTGGTTTTGGATTAACTGGACAGAAGAGTGAAAGCCAAACAACCTACAAGCGCCACACATTTATGGAAACTTCTGCAACAGACTTGGGAAGAACTTTCTGAAGAATATTTGATTTCTATTGTAAAAAGAGCGAGCCACGAGTGTGTTCAGCTGTTACATCTGCCAAAGGTGGACACTTTTATGAATCGAAAGTTTAGAAAATGTTTTGGTCAGCAGCAAACAATAAAAAACTGGAAAAAGTGTGGTGTTTTCAAACTTGACCGGTAGTGTATCGATACAGCAGCCAACGATATCGATTAAACGATGCGATATTCTTCTTGTCCGCAGTCTCCGTCACAAAAGAACAAGAGGCAGCAGCAGCAAGAACTGATCCAGGAACTGAGGAGGAAACAGGTTAAAGACAATCGGCACGTGTACGAAGGGAAAGATGGAGCCATAGAAGACATCATCACGGGTAACGCACACACACACACATATACATACATACACACACACATATACACGCACTTTATCTACACTATAACCGAACCATACATGCAAACAGTCTCTCTGCATGAATGGTCTCTGTGCTGTTATTAACACAGGGAAATCTACTGTAGCCACTAACAGAAAAACTCAACTGTCTTATATGTTTGACTGGTGCTTTTTGTTAACAAGTACAAACATGTGCTGACATTTGGAGGTCTGTGCAGCTACATTTGGAATCTCAAGCTCAAATGTGATACTCAGTGCTTAAATAATCTGCTCTTTCTATTGCTTTGTAACACCGTTTCTGTCTACAGGGCTGCGCTTCTTAGTCACAGTTGAAAGTTACGTTGGATTACGTGCGTTTGCATCAGTACTGTACAGAGTAGAATTAGCACAACGTCCCTAAACAAAGTAAATGTTCCGAAATATATTTACTGTATTATATATATTAAATCATACATAAAACTGGCACATACACTACCTGTTATTATTTTAAAGTACTTCAGCTAACTCAAATACTCTACAAGTTGGTTAATTCAGCTCAATGTCATCTTAATTTTATCTCCAGTTATCTCCAAAACAACTATTGTGAATTTTTTTGTTTTGATATATCTCCCATCTCCAGTTTCATGAAGTAAACTAGTATACTACTTCTATTGATTTATTTATTAGTAGTAACATTAGTATATGCCGTCAAGTTAAAGGTCCCATATTACGCAAAATTGACTCTTGTGAGCTTTTAGACATGTTTTAATGTTGTTGCCTCCTCAAAAACAGACCTGGAGTTGTGTTTTGTTTCATTCACATATTTAAGTAACACTTTATTATTAACCTCAAAATGCTCTGTTTTACCTTGTGATGTCATGAAGTGGTAGTTTTCAAGTGAACAGCTCCTTCTACCTTTTGTTCAATAGAGATCTGCAACTGCAAGTCTGAAGTGATCCAAATGATTAAAGTGAAAGTGCATGGAGTTTAAAATCACAGTGGAGCACTTCCTGTATTACCACATGACATCACAAAGTGGAACAGAGTGTTTTCTGTTTGAGAGAAGAACTCAACAAAACTCTAGGATCTCTGTACCATTTGTTCTTTTGAATTTCAATTAAGAATGAAAAATTATAAAATGGGAAAACAGTTTATTTCATTATTCCACTTTTGTGTCAGTAAATAAATAAATAAATAAATAAAACTGATTTTGACCTCTATTTCCAAAAAAAATTTAATAAAAAAATAAAAAATTGTGCATATTTTAATTTAGATATTTGTATTCTAGATATTTAGATAGACTTAAATATTTCTCTTCTAGCAGCAGAACTTCTGGGGAAAATAAACCAAAGAGAAAAAAAATGAAAATTGAAATAGACACTGAGAGTTTTTTGATTGGTGTTATTTATTTGGTGTTATTATAATAAACTTTAAATTAAATGTTAGAAATAGAGGTTGAAATCTGTTTTTTTTTTTTTACACGAAAGTGGGATAATGAAATAAACTGTTTTCCCATTTTATTGTTTTTCGTTTTTACTTGAAATTAAAAAGAACAAATGGCACACTCTCCAGGTCTATTTGTGACGAGGAAACAACATTATAGCATAACAGAGATCAGAAAATAGCGTAATATGGGCCCTTTAACCATTGTCTCTTTTATCTGTACTATGACCATAATCACACATTTAACACTTGTAGCTCAAATCATGCCTCGTATTAGAATAGTAGTGAAGTCTGTAGCGTCTGTAGAACTTTCCAGCTCCTTCTTTATCCCGTTGTGAGTATTTGCTCAGCTCTAACCGTCTCTACATAGATCTGCTTTTTCTTAATGGTGTCTGTTGTCTTGTGGCTGTCTTCTGTCCCTGTGCAGTGTTGAAGACAGTCCCCTTTACAGCGCGCACAGCCAAGCGCAGCTCCAGGTTCTTCTGCGAGCCCCTCACTGACGAGTACCATTACTAAACTTTAGAGCTCTCTCTCTTCTCAAAGGTCGCTGAAATATGAATGTTTTTACTTCCTGGTTTCTCCTCCGCACCTGCATGTTAACCACCACAGTCTCCGCACTCACACACTCTCAAAAGTGCATTGTACACGGTGGAGTTTGTGATTTGTGTTTGGATTTACACGGTGTTCCTCTCCTGAGCATGTGGACGCATGGGTTAAAGCTCCACTGTGTAACTTTTCTAGTAGAATGTCTGCCTTCAGAGAGATGTTATTGCTGTTTGAAATGTTCTGCAGTTTGGTATTAAACTAGGGCTTAGCAATTTGGCAAAATATCTGTAGATCTAATATGGATCTATGTATATTTTTTATTATTTTTTTATTTATTAAATTTTTCAAAAACAAACTAAAATGTGTTTAGTAGGGCTGGGTATCAGTAAGAAGTTGCCGATACAATACATACCTCGATACATTATTTTATTTATTTATTTATTCAATATTTTATCAGGTAAGTCAGTTGAGAGCACCTTCTCATTTACAATGATGACCTGGTCAAGAGGCAGAATAAAACAAAAACACAAACAGGAAATACTCACACATAAACTATAACATGAAACAGTGAATAGAGATATAAGACAATGAAACATTTGCAGATTAAAGACCTAAAAGTGTTAAAAGCATGTGCAATTATCCTTTAAAATACCCTGGATGGAGTTTTTAAAAGTCGACGGAGGTAAAAATGAACTAAATTTTAAAGTTTACATAGGCCACGATACGATACATATCTCGATACAGTATACTTTCAGTTCGATACTATATATTTAAAGTGATTCGATACGGTTCAATAAAAAATAAAGGCTAAATCATGGCTGTGATACTAAAAGTCTTTGTTAAACTCAAAGTTCATATGAAACAAGCATTTTAATCATCAAAACAGTAAAATGTCAAATGTGTCGCATAAACAAGTTTCCTTCCTCTGAACAAGCAACAAAACAGTAGCACTGTAACAAAATAATTTAGTAAAATACACAAAAAATACTCTTATAGTTGATATATTGATACAGCAGTCTTCGATATTGATACTATATCATCACATTAAACAATACGATATATAGATATTTTTGATATTTTTGCACACCCTTAGTGTTTAGTATTAATTTCATGAACATAAATTTTAAGCATTTTCAGAAATATGGCAATTAATTCTCAAAACCACAAAGCACTGGCTGTGGACTTCACAATTAAAAAACACAAAACCCATTAAACTTACTGTATATCTCCATGGAGACCAAACAGGGGACATCATCAGACCAAATTACAGGTCTGATCTGTGGAGAAGCAACCCAGCAAGCAGAAAGAATGGATGTTTTTCAAGGCAGTAAAAAACAATAATTGAATACATGAAAGACAGACACGTTTAATGCCATACTGTGGAACACTGCAGGTAAAATAAATAACATCTCCATGGAGACAAGCAGATGGTGGACCCTCTACCTGAAAAGTTACCAAGTGGATCTTTAAGTTTTCCTTTTGTAATGTCATAGAAAAGCCAAGCAAAACATGAAACAGCGGAGTAAGAGTTTTGAAATGAAATGCTGCTGCCCTCTTGTGGTCAAAAATAGAACACTCAATTTGATATGCGCTTTATTTCTATTTCTACAACATAATTGGTCAAACTACTATTAATTTATTATAGATTTAAATCAATTGCAGCTTTCTATGACATTATAACATACCTGTGTATTTTGAATTTTTATTTTTAAGGAATGTTTTATATCTGTGTTGCCTACTGCATGCTTTTTTGCTTATTTCCCACAATGCACCCCTGCACCTCCTCATCTTTGTTTAATTTAAGCAATTCTTCTTTTTAATAACTTCATTTGTGGTAATGCAGGCTTACTAACTAATAATTTGCTTTCTTGTTCACAATCTTCAATCTGCTTATATAATTTACAGTATAATTAACCCTTTCTTAACCGTACATTTTATTTTATTTTATGCATGTTTTGTGTGTATGTTGCTCTGTAGGATTTGAGCTTTCTCTGTCCTGCTGGTAGCCTCTTTGCAAAGCAGCCATCGTTCAAAAGTGTGAAAAACGCCACCGTAGACAAACCTAACCACCAGTAGTCCCATCCTGCTAAAGTTTATAGGGCTATTCCCATAAGCAGCTGACGCCATCTTGCTTTGCCAATTTTGCAGTTGTACAATGTTAAATGAGACTTAATCATGATTTCTTCTTGTCTTTATTCAGCGCTAAAGAAGAATAATATTACTAAATTTCCAAATGTCTACTCGAGGGTAAGGAAGTCCTCCAGTAGCACCCCTGTAGTGGATGTGTCCCAAACCTGGCAAGCATCTCTTTATTATCTAGCTCTGCACTATAGGCATTATTTATGTGAGCGCATATTCTTTTTGCTTATAGGCTTTGGGGGATAGTCACTTTGTACTGCAAAATGTAACAATATAAATGTCAATGCCATAAAGTGCAAATTCTTGTAAAAGAAAGCGTCATAAATGGGTGGAGAAAATGTTTAAAGGGACAGTCTGGAATTTTGGACATAGGACCTCATTTCCTAGTGAGTCAGAGTGTTGGAGACGTGTGGAGACACTTTTTAAAATATTCCATCCAGTCCTTGTATTTTCAGAGGTCGCTGGTGCTAGGCTAGTGCATGTCAATGGCCATAGTTAGCCTGCCACTAAAAACAGTCTTACTCACTCCACAAAACACCTGAAGCAAATGTATTATTACGCCAGACTGTCGATGTGAATGTCTGTGTTGATAGAATAATGTTTGAAATAAAACTAACCTTGCATTGCTTGAATCGTCACATGTTGAGGGACTATTTTCTCATGTATCAGTCCGCCGTTGCCAAGCTTTCTATCAGGAAGTACAACTCGCTGCTGCTGCTCAGACATAAATCCTTCAAATGCAAGGTTGGTTTTACTTCTAAAATTATTCTATCAACACAGACATTCACATTGACAGTCTGGTGTAATAATAGATTTGCTTCAGGTGTTTTGTGGAGTGGGTAAGACTGTTTTTAGTGGCAGGATAACTATGGCCATTGACATGCACTAGCCTAGCACCAGCGACCTCTGAAAATACAAGGACTGGATGGAATATTTTAAAAAGTGTCTCCACACGTCTCCAACACTCTGGCTCACTAGGAAATGAGGTCCTATGTCCAAAATTCCAAACTGTCCATTTAATATGATAAAGGGAAAGGCATGCAATAAGGTTGAAATACATATACTTGAAATATTAAAATCTTGATTGATCCAAAAATACTGATCCAAAATAAATCTGTATTTATTGTGAAACATAAATTACTTTTTAAAACTGAAACTGATATGTAAAAAAGCTTAAAGTTTAAAAAGTTGACAAGGTTTCATTTCAATACATTTTTAAAAATTTTGAACAATATATATTCGAGAATCGTTTCGTATGATCCTCCAACAACTTATGGTCAGTTTGAGGGCTTAAATTAATAATTGATTTATCAGGATTTTGTCGGAGTTTCATAATTTCACATAAAATTATCAAAAAAATGTTAAAGTAAAAGTATTAGATGGTTTCACAAGAACTGCACATTATGGCATTCGATTTTTTACACATCTTTAGTGTTTGGTTTATAAGTCTGCTACTTTTACCAATACTTTGCATGATCAGCAACATAAAAACATGCATCTCCTTTTGAGGCGATGCATTGACTTTATTCTCATTAGAACTGGTGCTGCTTTGGACTGTCAGGCTGCCAGCGCTCTGAGCAATGAACCCTCACTCACTTTCTGATAAACGACTGACAAACCTGTTCACCTCCCTCTCCCTTACCCCCCCATTTCTTCCCTCTTTTTTCTTTCTTTCTGTCTTTCTTTCTCGCAGATTTGAGAAACCAGCCGTACAGGAGAGCCGACGCCGTGCGCAGGAGTGTCCGGAGAAAATTTGACGACCAAAACCTGCGTCCGATCAACAACGGAGAAGTGTTCATGTAAAGAAAGACAGAGAGAAAGAAAGAAAGAGAAAGTGAAGAAAGGATGGTTAAGGAATAAAGAAGACGAGCGCAAGAACGAAAAGAGCAAAGAATGTTGAAAGAAGGACGAGTGAACGTAGCAGAAACCATAGAGATGATTATGTATATATATATTTTACATAAAGAACTGCATACCTGTGGTGTAGTAGCAGATGTTCTATGAAGGACTGGACTCGATGGACAGTTTCCAAAGGTTTATGGGAAAACCTTAAACCCAGACAAGTGCCTCTGTGTCTGTTGATTCTCTTTTTTTTTTTTTTTTTCACATTTGGAGCAATACAAGATCCAACCAGGCTTTAATCTGGAAGAAACGTGCAAAACTGGACTTTTGTATGAAGAAATGGTGAATGTTTATGAGCAGTCTATGTAGCTGTTACATTAGCAGGAGAGTTTAGCCTGGCCAGCCCGACCCGTGCACTTTCACATCAAATCAAGACTCGACTCAACTCATTTAAACTTATTTTAGTCTTTTTTGTACGAGGATTATTTTCCGTTTTGGTTTCAGGGTGCATTGTGTAACTTTTCTGGTGCTTTTCTCCATGGAGATGTTATTGCTTTGTCTGGAATGTCTCACAGTATGGCATTAAAGCTTTCTATCTTCATGGAGACCAAACCAGACCAAGTTACGGTTCAGAAATGTGGAGAGGCAACCCCGCTCGCAGTCAGAATGCCTGTTTTTCTAGTTATGTTTTGAGCTATAAAACAAGTCGTGACTTGAACTCGAGTCAGACTTGAGTCGCTATTTTTAAGACCTGAGACTTGACTTGATAAAATGGACTAAGACTTGGGACTTGACTCGGACTTGAAGGTCAGTGATTTCAGACTTGACACGGACCTGAACCCTGTGACTTGAGAAGACGTGATGCTTCTCCTAAAAATATACAGTATGTTTTTAGAAAATACTTTTCTCTTTAAGTTCAAAAATGCAGTGCTGAATTTTAGAGAAACAAACTGCAACATGTCCCTCCCACTTCTCTGTTTGTTACTTTGGATGTAACTGAAGTACTGTGATGTGGTATCTTCAAATGTACTACAGTAATATACAGTACAACACAGTAAAACAGAGGGAAGTACATATAGCACAATCCTTCCATTTCAGTGCAGGCGACATGACAAAATAACTGATATTAAGCTTTTTTTTTTTATCTTAATTGATTCACACTAAGATCTTGTCAAAACATTTAAAAAGGAAATATTTGCATTTCTATAACTCCTTACATACTCTATAAATACTCATATATAAATATACCAAGACTTTTTAAGTACAGTTTAATTTAAAATTCATAAAAAATGCAAAAATCTAAGCTATATTTGGTATTTATTTAGGCTTGAAATGACTCAAAGCAGACGACTTGGACTTGACTTGGACTTATGGGCCGGTGACTCGAGACTCGACTTGGACTTGCCTGTATTTGACTTGAGGTTTGACTCGGACTTGAGGTCAAAAACTTGAGACTTGCAACGGAAACACCGACTTGGTCCCACCACTGATAAAGCCACCTCTAATTGAATAAATGTAAGGTAGAGCTCTTTAATGTCACACTGTGGGACATTCCAGACAAAGCAATGGCATCTCCATAGAAACAAGGTGATGGAAACTCTACCAGAAAAGTTACACAATGCACCTTTAAGGCTGTTATTTTAAGAATAACAAAAACGAGACACAATTTTACTTCGACTCGGTTAAGAATGAACAAATATTATACCATGTGGCCACTAGGGGTCAGTAAAGGAACAAGATTTGAATCCATGTCTTCTGCTTAATTCAAAAGGGCTGACATTTTGTTACATGGCTAAAATTAAACTCAAGGACTGCTGCCAAAACTGTACTTAAGTAAAAGTACTAGTTACTTTACCACAATTTTAGCTGAATTTTATGATACAGCTTTTGTGCAAAACATGATTAATTAACAGTTTAAAGCTGAATTAAGTTATTTTAAATCTGAACTGAGCTGGCAATGTAGAGTTTGTTGGTCAGCTATAGAAACGAGCATGAGACAGCAGTGATTCCCTCTTGCATTGGGACAAAAGTGACTGTTCTGTCCTCAGTGACTTCTTTAATTTAGTGTTTTTAAAAACTCTTCTCATTTTCGTAGCTTTATTTATATTAAGTTACTTTCCACCATTGAGTTCCACATATATTTTAACATGCAGTAGGTAGATCTGCTTTTACACACTGTTGTTGTTTTGCCTTTCTTAAATCCAAATTGACTGAACAGGGAGTGTTGTGAAACAGGCTGGCCAGGCTAAAGATCTAAATATATCTGTACATTCCACTACTTTACCATTCCTCTCGCAATAGAACTGTGTGTAGCAGGTTTTACGTCTCATCTGAGGCGTAACGAAAGGGCTATGAGCTACAACGACGGCAGAAAACTGGACAAAAACGGTTAACAAATTAAACTTTTGCAGCTTAAAGGGGTCATAACACAGTGTTTCCTCATCAAAAACATCGCTGGAGTTGCGTTTTGTTTCATTCACACACATTTAAAACACAAATCCTGCTTATTTAGGCCGAGTTCTTCTCTAAAACGGAAAACACTCTGTTCCACCTTGTGATGTCATGTGGTAATACAGAACGTGCATGTGTGTCATTTTAAACTCCACGCACCTTCACTAGAATCATTTGGATCATTTCAACCCCGGGAATTGCCTTTTCCCAACTCAACAAAATCTTAAAAGTAGCTGATAATGTGAAAACTACCACTTCATGACATCACAAGGTGGAAAAACGGAGCATTTTGAGCTTTGGAGATGTACAAACTAATAAAGCAGGATTACTCAGACATGTGTGAATGAAAAAAACACAACTCCATGTGTGTTTTTGATGAGGTAACAACATTATAACACATCTAAAAGCTAAATTTAGTGTAATTTAGGACTTTTAATTGTGAAATGTTACTTCATAATGTTAATATGTGTTACAATACAAAACAATGGACTGAACCCACTTTCAAAACTGGATATAAACCTATAATATACCATTTAATGCGTTTTTCATGTACCGGGCTGTGTCTACTACTCACCTTATTGTAATTTGATGTATAGTATTTAACCTCTTGAAACTTGTACGCTTTGTGTGCTCATCCGTCATTCAGAAACGAACACGGCACGAACACAAAGAGTTCTTATATGTACAGATATTTTGCTACTTTTCTACTTAACATTACCAGATGGTTAATATTGTACATACTGTTCAAACTTTGCCTTGAATGTTTTATTTTAACTTATAGTTTTTATGTCTTTGTCACGTGTCATTTTTGTGTATTTAATAAGAAGCCAAAACGGGACATCTCACTCCATTAAAGGGGGACACTGGATCGTATACGCTGAAGGTGGATCAAAGTCGGTTACTATTAAAGCAGGAAGCATGTCGTGAAACAGAAAATGGATCATAATAACTACAGATTATTATTCTAGTTGAAAATGGTGGTTAAAAGCTTATCTGTGGAGAGCTGGCTTTGAAGCTCGTGTTTTGACTGCAATTACCTTCACTAAAGCATCTCACTCTGTAACAGTCATGGCTCTGCTCTGGCATGTTTTATACTTTAGGCAGTTTATGGTTATTATCAAATAACAATTTAGATTTTCAATGAATATGATCAAATAAACTATGTTGAATATTATGAATGTTTGGACTCTTTTCGTGTCTTCTGGTGTTTTCGGAAATTGGCGCTAAGATGTTCTGAGGAAGTAGACAGGAAAATTACCAACCTCTTGCAAATTACTATAAATATTATGAACACAAAATTAGTCATGCGCATAATTACTCGAGCCAGAATAAAAAAATACTTGGAAAACGCACTACTGCTACTACTTAGATCAATGATTTCCAAAAGAATTTACCAAAAATTAGATATGTTACAATATGTTGGTGGTGTCACGATACAAACATTTCAAACTTGTTTCGATATTAAGGAATTCACTCAATACGATTAGGATACCACAATGAAGATTTAAAAACGCTACTTTTTTTAGTAATAGAATGTAATTTTCATATACAAAACAGTATCAGGGTATCCCCAGGTTTGACTACCCCAAATTTAAGACGTTTTTAAGACCTTTTTAAGACCACTTAAAGGAAAATTAAGACCAACATCACACAAATTATGCGGGCGAAAAACACCAGATCAAATTCTAATAATGATCAATCAACCACAGTACTATATCTAGAATTTAAGAGCCACTGGATTAAACCTACACTTCCCCATGATCCATCCAACATCTTCCTCCACTCTACTGATTGTTTACAGCAGCTGAAATCGAAGTATTGTTTGCACATACTCCAAATTAGACGTTCATTCACGTTACGAGATTTCACGGTGTTAAGTTTTTTTTTTCCTCCCTCCATTTAACATCATATTGCAGCCCGGTTGAGTATACAAAAAAAAATAGGCTAATGAAATGTAAGACCTTTATAAAAAATTTAAAAAAAAGACTTGGACAACATAATTTAAGACTTTTTAAGGCCTTAATTTAGGAACATGAAATTTAAGGCCTTTTTAAGACTTTTAAGACCCTGCGGCTCCACTGGTAGGTGCGTTTTGAGGTCTTAAACTTGTTTTGATAATGTTCAAAATGACACAAACTGTTCAGGAAAGCTCACATTTTGCCCTCTTAATGTGATTTTTTTGCAGTATCGTGAATGAGTATCTAGTAACAATTTTAGTTTTAGTATCGATTATACATGTGTCAGTACTGGACTCAGAAGAAACAAACTTAAGTAATACTATTTTCCAAAGTAAACTACTGAAAAATATCTAATTTCTTCAAAAAGTTAAATTCAGCTTATTACTACCCACCTCTGGCCCAAATAAGCTGTTCTCATTGAGTCAGTATAAGACTATACTTTATGGGAAAAAAATATTTCCTTAGTGTGACCAGCAATTGTAAATATTAGGAGTGTAACAATATCCAAGTCTCATAATACGCTATCGTCACGATATGAACATCTTGGTAGGGTTATTTATTGCGATATTGTAGGAAAGCTCACGATATGGTGAAGAGGCACACGATTAGAGATGTAACAATCCAAATCTCTGAGTACGATATTTTCATGATATACATCTCATGGTACGATATTTCATTGAGATATTTGGTGAAGGCGAACAAAACTGTCAATATGCTACTTTTTCCCCTTAGACTTAACTCAGTAATTCTAAGCACTTCTAAATCGTACTTCTCCATTTCTTCTTGTAGTCTACACTGACTTGGAGCAAAGGATCATGGTCTATGCAGTTCCCCCTGTCTTATTTTTAGCTATTGCTGCACCATAACTCTTAATTTAAGCAAAGAGATTTGTAATTCGATATATTGTGATGGTCCATGATATTATTGTGAGAACTTTGACGATACGATATCACGATATTTCAGTTATTGTTCCATCCCTAGTAAATATATTAAAAATGACGCAAAAATAATGTGTCCCATCATTATCATTTTTTTATTACAATAAACAAAGTCATGGTATCTAAACAAAAGTAGTAAATAAAAGCCTGTTGACGCTGTCTGTGATATGAGCGATACTTCTCAAGTGCCTTATGAACTCATCTCAGCTTCAGAAATACAGTGTACTTTTTCATTAGCGGTCTGTCACCTGCTTGTTTCTATGGATAAGTCATTGCTCTGCCTGGAATGTTCCATAGTATGACATTAAACAGCTCTACTCTACATTTATTCGATTACAAGTGGGTTTATAGCTCAGAAATACCTTGAAAACCAGGCATTCTGACTGCGAGCAGGGTCGCCTCTGCACAGATCTGAACTGTAACTTGATCCAGTTTGGTCTCCATGATGATAAAAAGGTTTAACATTCCAGACGAAACAATAACATCACCATGGAGAAAAGCATTTGACGGACCCTCCAGCAGAAAAGTTACACAATGCACCTTTACGTTTTCACACTGAGGCCCCCATCAGGGTTACAGCAATTTGCTTGATCAAGTTTAAAATGTGAGACCGGTGGAAAACAAATACAGCTATACTCAACTAAAATATTTCTAAGGCGATTTAACAAGAGCATTAAACAGAACAGTCCTGATATTTTAGTCACAAATTAACCGAATGACTGAGCAATGATGCAACTGGAGCCTGGCAGACAGTAAAGGGGGAACATTTTTGTCATTTTTGCTCAATGAATATGTGAACGGATGTTTATAAAGCCTTATGAAGCTGCGCCATCATCAAGGTGCGTCCAGTTGTTCCAGTAAAGTCCTCCTCCGTTTTTCCAGCTCGCCTTCACTCAGCTCACTGCCGGATGTGTCCCAGTCGCCCTGTTCACAACACAAATGTTTAATATAGACAAAAATATATATATAAAAATAGAAGTACGTTTAAACCATAGACGGTGGACTGAGGGAGTGTGATGTTACTAATAGTAGTCAGCTCCAGTCAAATGAAGCTCATCGAGGCTTGCAGTTACAGGAGTGAATTTGGAGTATTAGAAATAGGAATTTATTAATGGACAAAATGGTAAAATAAAAACACCAGAATCATGTAGAGCGAGTTAATACAAACATTTTAAGACCAAAATGCCGAGGGTCACTGCAGCAGTTACAAAAAGAGGGGTGACAATTTTTCAGTGTAAAGTCAACTGGAGCCAGAAGCACCCCAATGCTCACTTCCTATTTCGAACGTGACGGCCAACGCATTAGCTTTGTCCATTTATACTGTAATTTTTTTTCCTCATACTTTGAACTCTACGGCTTATACAACGATGTGGCGAATATACGGACGGATTATTTGTTTATCAACACAGCGGATGCAGCCTGAGTGCAGAAAGCGCCGCTGTTTGTTCAGTTAACATGAAACTGCAAGTTTATCGCCGTGTGATAAAATAAGTTATGATGCTAAATGAACATTAGTGAGTTGGATACGTCTTAATGGTCCATATGTGTTAAATGCAGGTGAGTGTGTAAATGACGAGAAGAAACGTCTCAAACTTCAGTAGCCGGACATCCACTCATACCTGATCGATTCAACTAACTTGGGCCCCGGGTGAAACTGAACTCTATTGAAATTCTACAAGACACTGACATGATACTAGATGGGACAGCGGCTCTTTCTGCAGGAGACACACGTAGTAGAGCACGAAGTGACAATTTGATAATCTTGTCGTAATCCTGTTGTTTTACTGCTGTGTCACAGGCACTGTTTGGAAATTAAATTAAAAGTTTAAAAAATCTGACTGTGTAAATATCTCAAGTTAAAACGCGGACACCTGCAGCTTACAGACAAGTGTGGCCTATATATGTACTTTATTTTTTTTTCTTTAAAAATTTAGTTGATGCGGCTTATATATTCAGGTGCGCTCAATAGTACGAAAATTATGGTATATAAAGTCTATGGTTTGAACAAATATCTGAAGTGTTCTGACCTCTTCTTTGATCGCTTTCTTTTTAGGAGACTTCTGTTTGGAATCCGAGTGAGATTTGCTTCGAGATTTGTCATTTTCTTTGTCTTTGTCGTCCTTCTCTCTCTTCACATCGCGCTCCCTCTTCTTCTCACTCTCAGACTCTGGAGAGCCCTAGGAGCAAAAATAAAACAGTGAACATGACGATTATAAACTTCAAAAGAGTCATTATGAAAGTTATGAAGAGTGTAAAAGATGACCTCGGTGTATTTTAATGCTAATTATCAATTGTTATTTTAAAATGGTAAGTAGGATTACTACAGTCTTTAACCAGGGATCAAATTATATCTAGGTTTGTGCTGTGAAAAATGTATGTTGTTTAAACAATCAGAACATGAAAAAATAGGTGTATATGATCGTTAAATGTAAATTCTAAACTCTGGCAAAGCAAAGGGTTATTGTTTACATTATAGCATGTAGACAATAAAAACTACAGTAAGTATCATGTTTTCATTATCAGTGTCTTTTTCTAGTGGCGGATACACCACCTGCAGGTCTCCAGTTGTTTCTGTAAAATAAGAAACTTTATTTGTTCCACAATAGGAAATTTTCTGGTGTTGCAACACGTAGTTCAAAAAAGTGAGTAGAAGAGTAGAAATAGGCATAGGAAAGAAGCAGGTAGTTCCACAAGGTCAGGTTTTAGGTCCAGTCATTTTTTAGTTTAATGATATACTGTGGTCCCTCGTTTATCGCGGGTGTTGCGTTCTGAAAATAACCCACGATAGGTGAAATCCGCGAAGTAGTCAACTTTATATTTTACAATTATTATATCTGTTTTAAGGCTGTAAAAACCCTCACCACACACTTTATACACTTTTCTCAGACAGGACAGTTACAACCCTTTTTGCATCCTTCTTAAAACTTATGGCTGCTGTCGTCCTTATGTTATTTTCCTTCTTTATGTAATGAACCGAAGATTCATTTATTTCTTAATGGAGTCCAACAGCGTAGAGTCCATTTTTTCAGACTTGCACCTGCGCAGTACAACACTGTACCCACCCGTTAACCCGAGATTATATCTAACTTTTGCGCTGCCTACACCACGGACTGAACCAAGATTAAACCAGGACTAACCCAGGACTAACCTAGGACTGATTCCAGGACTGAACTAAGACTAAACCAGGAGTAAACAGGACAAAACAAGGACTAAACCAAAACTGAACCAAGACTTACTGTTGGGACGGGCTTGGATGTGACCGCAGGAGAGTGTTCCGG